AGCTGACTAAATAGTCCCCCATTGAACTGACTTTGGCCAACAACTTCCTGCATTCGTGTTGCATGCTCACAGGCAATTGACCACCTAATTTAACATTAGGAAAAATTTCATCAAGGCTCCGCCAATCCGTCAGATCATTTCTCTGAAGGGCGACTGCTTCAAGCATCTCATAGGAGTTGCTTACCTCTGGACTAGACATTTACACAGTAGCGCATTTGCCTAATTTCTTGCAGATAACTGCAGGAAACTGTGAACATCGGTCAGTAATTCCATTTTGAGTTAAGGTGTATGGTCACTCGAAGGGGATTATATTTATTTCAAAGATAGTAAACATAATACAAGAACAAATACAAAATGGTACGAACTCACCGGCTTCGTCTGCATCCTTACCAAAGATAAAGTTCCTTTTAGGACTAAACGCTTTAGAGGCTGAGGGTCTTGCATTTCACGGATTGTACAGTGCTTTCTAATGCAAGAACTGATACCCACCACTTCCATAGTATTCGTTCCACTTAGACCAAAGGCAAAGTAAAATACCAAAACTGATCCTCCAAATCATCAAGAATATTTCGCAACCAAATCATAGTGCGAGGATGACTGCATAACTAGTTTGGGATTGGCACGAGCGAACGAACGTAACACGGCATTGTGTCGAATAGCGTGGATGCTTGAACGTTAGTCTTAAGCTAAACAAGTCAACTTAAACAGTGAGGGTCAGCATCCAATATTGAGTAACAAATGCCGTGGCTGATAATTTTGTAGAATTACCTAATGCTACACTTTTGTTCGGAATTCTGCAAGAACTTGGTTCTAAACATCCAGAAAGTTATTACGTCTCAGAATTGCCTGGATGCAGTCAGGATTAATTCGAATAACAAGTTTTGGTGTGATGTACGCAACGAAAATGAATAGGAACCAAATTTTACCCTCACCAATATGGTGTCATCTCATCTTGGGTCATACCAAGCATTTACTAGGTGGTATCTACCGATCATCCACCTGTCAGGCAGAGCATAACCAGCTGCCTCTCAGCACCACCACCAAATCACCACAGCTAGAGTCCTAAATGTCCCTTAACCTTAGCTCAGAGTATGCTCAGGAAAAATTTGGTCTAAATTTGCCACAAACCATTAGAGATAAGGGACTTACTGAGAATGTTAGCGATGACACTAGGTTAGTTCCAAGTCATCGAAACTAGATTATATTCTGACAAGTAGCTATTGACTAGTCAAAAATGTCCAAATAATGGCCCCTTCAATGAGTAACAACCACGTAGTCACAGGGTTTGTTGTTCTTCATGATCATATACAGTGGGACGCTGCGCGACCATGTCTGTTTTATAGTAAGGCCGGCTATGCCGGAATGCGAGGACTTTTGTTCAACTCGGGATGGCCCATAGAACGGGCTGATTTATCTGTGAATGAACGCTGGAAAGTGGTAAAAGAGATTATTCACACAGGAATTTCAGATACCATGCCTCTAGTTACAGCAGAGCCGAAGAAAAGGTCCTCATGGCTGAAGAGACGTACACAAAGTATTCTACAAGCAAAACGAAGGCTTGGTCTGCGTGACAGATATCTGGAGTTAGAGCAACAACGACACGTACCTGGAGCTCAGGAACCGGTGCAACGAAAAAGTAGGGAGTGACAGTACGTCATTTCATACTTAACTAACCAAGGAACTCTCGGGTAACTACGAAAGCCAGTACCGATTTATGTCGAAGAGAAAACCTACAAGCCTTCGTGGGTAGAAATGGTCAGTATCTCATTAGTTTGGAAATGGCTAAAGCATTCAGTTCAGCCTTTGCCAAACAGTTGAACAGCAATGAAGGTATTACCTGTATAGGCAGTGGCACTAGGGAGGCTACAGGGACCCATGTCTGGAAGGTCTCCATGTTGTGACAGCATTCGGTTACCTGTTCTAAAATGAAGCGCTACGGCTACAACACTTGATGGATTCAGAGAAAATGCTTAGCCATTGAAAGAGGACTATCGTTTCTGCTACCATCAAAGATGGGAATCGGCAAAGTGCCAAGGGTTGCAGACCAGTAGCAATACTGCCAGTGGCGTCGAAAGTATCGGAAAGTCTGACAGATGACCACACCAGGCAACATCTCAACATGAATAAGTGACTCCATGACGCACAACATGGTTTGAAGGGAGGTAGATCCTGAGTAACAAACTAGCTATCAGCTTGGCACTGTCAGTGTCCAGGTCTAACTACCCTGGACTTAACGCTGTTCTTAGAAGACTTTCAGAAACTACTGTCAATAACCAACGCGAAAAACCAGAACACAGATTAGCGATTCAAGAATCCTATATTCTTGCGCCAATACAGAACCACTCACAAGGTTATTGTACACAAAGTCTAAGGATAAATGTTATAACGATTAATCACAATAATACTTCTGTTAGTTTTTCTCTGTCTTCTAAAAAACAGTGAACGATGAGACGATGACTGCACTATCGATGACTCACGCCAAAAAGTGGAGTTGGGTTTGAGCAAACAACCGTTAAATTGATCGTTCATTCTTCAATTACTTTGACAGGCACTATTGAACATCATGCTTGGATATGAGTGCTTTAGTCCATGTCATCTTCCCGTTCTTTGAGAAGGCATTCGACGCAGTTCACCACAACCTTCTCCTACACAAAATAAGTCAGGCAGGTATAGGTAAGCCGCTTATGTCATGGTTGGAGGACTACCAAGACGGAAGGGTGTTCTGCACTGAGGTTAGTCTTGTCCGATCATCCTGGCACAGCTCATCACTAGGAGTGTCGAGGGACTTCATTTAAAGTCTGCTCATGTTTTCGACTTTTATCAATAACCTACCATGCTGTCTAAGCTATCCGACTTTTCTTTATTCCCCAAGCGGTAAGATTTGGGGAGCGAGAAAGTGCTCGGATGACTCAAACAGACTACAGTTAGACCTAAAACTCCCGGAAGACTGGTGGGCAGTGGTATGACTTTCAACCTGAAAGGTGAAAATTAGTGCAACAACGCACCTGTAGGCTGCATGATGTAAGTTACACCCTGTGCAGCGAAAAGTTGTCCTGCACAACGTCAGAGCGTGACTTAGGTGTACAGGACACACGACAGACCACACCTTGACGTGCACAATATCATGGCGCTCCCACTGCCTGTAAGAGACGTGAACCTTTTGGAGAGAGTCTAGAGATGGGCGACGAAGGGCGTGATGGATCTCTGAAACAAGCCATATAATGAATGGCTAAAGAAATTAGGTCTCTTGACATTTAGCTACCATCGGTTTAAAGGGAGGGCACGATTATTGTCTATAGGATGATCAGAATCACTCAAACAAAAGTGATCCGCCAATAGGTAAGTATGGGTTTCTTCATGGAAATCCACGAACGATAGCTCATCAGAGGACAAAGACTCAAGTGAGCCCCCATTTCTTTTCACTGCGAGTTTTCCGTCACAATCCGACCTGCCCTGTCAACTGAACTGCTCTGCGCTTCTTTACGCTGACGATGTAAAGATTTGGAGAGCAACTCATCAGACTTCAACAGATTGCAGGCTGACCTGCAAACTCTGGGAGACTGGGCTCTGGCTAACGGAATGCCTTTCAACTTAAAGAAGTGCAAAGTAGTGCAACTTCATTCCGGCAGGTCACAGAGTGCAAATTACACCCTTGGTGGCCAGAACTTGAGTTGTGTGCCATCAGAACGCGACCTAGGTCTTATTTTAACAGAAAAGCTAGACACCAGTGTAAATTGCACGAGGGATGTCGCCAAAGCTTACTCAACTTTACACTTTATGCATAGGCAGCTGGGAGCTCTTACTCCCGAACTATTCTTAAGGTTGTATACGACATACGTGAGGCCACTCCTTGAGGTGCATAATATCATTGCTCCTCCGCTACTCAAAAGGGATGCTAACATGCTAGAAAGTGTCCAGAGACGAGAGACAAAATGGGTGATCGGCCTTCGCAACAAATCATATGAGGAAAGACTGAAGAAATTAAGTCTTTTCACACTTAGTTACCGTAGTCACAGGGGAGACCTCATCACCATCTATATGATCTTAAATGACCAGGCCCACCCAAATAAAAGCATCCTGCCATTAAGTGATTATAGGCTTCCACGAGGTAACCCGCTAAGGATAGCACACCATAGACCAAAGACTCGAGTGCGTTCACATTTCTTTTCTCTTCGAGTTTGCCGTCTCTGGAACGCTTTCCTGGCGGCCGTAACTACAGCGCCATCTGTGGAGACTTTTAAGCGGAAGCTGTACAATCATGCAGAAATGCATGGTTTGTGTCTCAATGGCTTATCCTCTTAAAATTTGAAACCACATTGTCAGTGGATAAGCATACAAACTAAATCCCCACGACCCGTTCTGTCTTCTCTCACTGTACCGACTACTCTATCTTTTCCTTCGGTCACCTTTATTATTTCGCTTATCTCAACCTATATTATCTACACTACAACCTATTATTATTACTATTCTGCTTTTATGACTACACCGAATGACCAACGGGTGTTAGGTCAAACTCCATTCACAGCAGCAACTGAGTCCTAACATACTGCACAAACCACATCTTGACCAATCCCCGCACCACTCCTCTTGGAGTCTACCAGAGCTAAATCAGTCAAGTGGCGGGACTTACTACGCATAAGTTCACCGAAGATCTGGAACCTCTAACTTACAATCAAGAAGCGAGCTCAAAGAAATCACTGGTTAATACCAGCTCGTAATCAGGATATTGGACAGCTCATCACAATGATAAGTCTCACCCGTTTTATTAGTTCTCAGCGTACTGGAAGTAGCCTGTGTTTTGTAATAAGGGAAATTCTGATAGGTCTTAGATGTGAAATTCACTTCATCATTTTCAATAACCGAAGTTTGAACCTGCTAGAAACATTAAGGGTTAACACTATAGTGATTATGCATATTGGCGGTAATCTGAATCTGCTGTAATCAAATATATTTAAAAAGTCAAACAATTATCAAGCCAAATGTAACAACCTAAGATCTTTATGACTCCAAAAGCGATGAGCTATAAGTATGCTGGAAATTAATGCTCATAATTGTCTTTACAGAGGAAAGATTACTGATAATTTGGAAGAAAATGTGGAACACAAAACCCAAGCCCACAGAAAGGAATCAGAAGAAATCCAAACAGCTTTTCAGAATAATGCAGCAGTAAGCAGACAGCTTGATTCCAAAGCATGGCTCAGTCTATTTGGCTTGAAAAAGAATAATATCGACAAGCTATCCGTATTACAGAATATTGGATTTCTGATGAAGGAAGGTATTTAGACTCTTTGAAATTTAGAATTTAGTAAAGATTATGATCGCTGTTTAGGGAAGTATGTTAAATCCTCCTATGGAGACGGCTTATTTGTGAGAATAAGAAACGATAGGACTGGGGATGTGTATAACGTATGTTCAGTGTTAATTGTCTACTTTTAAAAGGTTACGGCTAGAAGAAGTTATATAAAGCAGCTAAAGATAAGAATTATGCAAGCTGTCGATTTATATAAAAGTCGTCTTACTTGGTTGACATCAGGATGCAGATCCGTTTTCGGTGTATTACAGGAACATTCAGCAGTTTTTCTCATAGATATTAAAACGCAATCCACTGAAATATTCTCGAATTTCATTAAATCTTTCAAGCATCTTATTACCGGCCAGATCGCAAATATGAAAATGTTCAATGTGATTAGGTAGTAGTTCTATTCCTTTTCCCTGACTAGGTAGATGTCAGGATAAACCTTTTTCGTTTTCAGATAAATTAGTTATTGTTGACGACTGTTCGTTAAGAAACTTGCTAGAATGGGCCAGCAGAATAGAGCGGCTGACGGCTTTTAGTGTGAACTGTACTGCCGAATGCCTATCTAGGATAAATAAATTCAAAATGGTGAGTGTTATAGTTATTTTAACTATTTGGCAAAGTTACACGCAATAATGTCTACATTTTCAAAAATAAGCATAAGTTTTTCCCTTCTGCTTTAATGTCACTGGATACAAGACACATAAAATATTCAGTATTTTTTGAGATAGTCCTTATATAAATTGGATCGTTGAAGAGCGTCAACACTATATTGCAAGTAATTGTTTGCAAACCCTTCGCTTACTTTAAGGCGGACCCAAATAACGCGTAAGACTACAAAGCGATATTCCAGTTTGACCGCATCCGGATATCAGGCGGATGAAGAGTAACTAGAGATGAGTTAAACTGTTATTGAAATTGTTTTCATCATTATTTTTTTCATTTTCTCACTAAATTCTGTTTTCATCACGCGTATTTTTGATAGTCGATAGTAGTTGATGTCTGTTATCTTTTTCTTTTCAATGTTTCGAGTTTTTGAATTCTATCACTTAGTTTATTCACTGCTAGAGCCTCCAAAATCGTGTATCCTTCACAACAATTTAACTTATGACTCTATGATATTTATCTAGATTAGTTATTAAAATTTAGTTAGTCCTGTCATATGCAATGTTTCAAGAGTTCACTTTATTTTTTCACTCCATGTGCTACATTTTTGGAAGTTTCTTTACCTACTGTATGCAGTTAAGCTATTCAACTTGTCGTATAAATATTTTAAGATCAAACATTGTCAAATGTTTCAGACCTAAGTAGCTTACACACTGGAAGAATATGATCATATTCACCAGGGAGGAAGATAAAGCAAATGAGAATCAATGAGATGCTCACTAGCGATATCAAAATATTCTATTCAGGGAGGTAGTTATCCGGGGTTCTAGTGGGAAGTCGTGACTAGTAGGGTGCAGTATGTCGGGCGTGAGGACAAATACTCGCCGAAGACATTGGCTAATAGTCGCGCTATGTCGTGAATTGGTAGAAGTTGGAATTCGTGGGCCGTTGGATCAGGTCCTATCGGCTTAATGATCTATGGGCTCACCTTGTAAACAGAAGGTCCTGGGTTTGGACCCTAGTGGCGGGTGCGTACTGATGAAGAGTCCCGAACTAGGGCGAAACAACTGTCCAGTACTCCCACGTTTTCTAATGGTTCTCTAACCGATGTCACTTCATGATGAAATCCTGTAACCAATCAATCAAATCCCTACAAACCAATACTTGTCAATGCATTAAAAGTTAATTGAAGGGAAAATGTTATCGGGATGCTAAACAGCAAGGGCCCAAAAAAACTTTATCTTTTCTTTCTTATGACTTCGTGATAAACCAATCCATGTTTCATATAACCAACATGTGTAAGTTAGACTAAGTAAATATAAATATTTACCACCTCAGCTCATGTCACAACTCGGTGACGACCACGGAAGTATTTGAAAATATACATAGTAATTAAAATTAGCCGTAAGTATTCTTATAAACACCTCATAAGAAATCATCAAGACGTATTTATTCTAACTGCATTTTTATGTTTGATTAATTTTGGTAATAAGTCTAGTCGAATTATTACCAAAACTAAAAAACACTGTCAGTGTGTGCAAACATCTATGAAAATTATATTTGTGTTGAATTGATTCACTTCACAATGCATAGACTTTCTGCAGACGTCATTAGGGGCTACTTCACTAAAGGGCAAGAGGTACAGGTGAATAATGTTGTCAATCCTTAGATTACCTACCTTATTAGCGAAATACTTACCTGATATTTTATGATGTACAGAGTAATCATCCTGAGTGTACTATTTCGCTAATAATACTGGCACTACGTCCTAGGATTAGACAATTAGAACCAGGCTAATTTAAGTTGGAATCCATGAATCACTCATTAGAGCGAGCAAAACAAAAAAAACAATGGGTGTTCATGTCAGAATGTATTTTAACAAAGATTTTATTTATTTCACCATTTTGTTACCACGTATTATTTAACCTAATGATTATTCCATTGACGGTATACCAGAGCAGCTGAAACTACAACTGGGTGTATTTCAATGTCAAAGTGGAGGGAATCTAGCAGTACTTCAGCCACGTCTAAAGTAATATTTTACCAACAAAAACTGTGTATGTGATTTCAACGAAAATAAGCAATCTCTCCTAGAGAAACTGATGAGTAAGGCTGTTAATTAGTAGACTTACTTATTGCCAACTCCCTATTCATTTCTTCGGATATCTACGTTTAAATCCTGTCTCGCTTGGTAGATAATACATAAGCGAATAATTAGATTCAGTTGATAATGGAAAATAGTTACCGTGAAGTCTTGTGAAGCTTCTGAGTTAATAATACCTAACTGATTGTTTATGAAAACATTATGACTTAATCCCAGGTCATGTAGCAGTTAATGCATCAGAGGATTTCAACAAAGAAATACTCACGTTTCTAACAGGGGATAAATGTAACCTAAATATCACCACAAGTTACTCATTTTTAATTTCTACAGGATAATCGGCTTGTTAGCGATTCAGTGGTAAAACGCTTGACATCCAAGCACGTGATCCAGGTTGGATTCCGGAATAAAACACAACTAAACCTAGCCTAGTTTACTAGCCAGCAGTAACTCAGGAAAAGATGGAAGGTTGGGAGTGGGAATAGAAACCTCAGAGGGTAAAAACAACAACTGTCCATAGCCGTAAAAAGAACTTGTGATGCTATCACCGTCTATATAACTTTCTAGACGACTGATTATCATCGTTCGGACGGAATCCAGTGGATTCCACTACTAGTTACCATCCACAAAATTACTTCAAGTTAATCCTCAGGCATCGTTGAAGCTTTCACACTAGAAACCAACCTGTCAGCAGAGGCCAAACATTCCGGTCCAGTCGATCAACCGGGAAATCAAAATTGAATTAAAAATAGTACTCTTACTGTTGATGCGACTGATGTTATTGTTTTTGTTTTTATCATCATTAGTACCATTACCGCTATAATTTGCAGCATTTTTCTTTGACCTACAAATAACTGTCATTAGTTGAAATTTTATGCATATTTAAAATTATCTATATTGGAGTAAAGCAAGAGGAAAACCTAATTGAGGATGATAATATTCTTTTAATTCTAACAATCTGAATTTTTATTATGTTTATTAAACTCCAAAGGTTGAGTGTGAACTAAATATTAATTAGTTGAAATTGTATTGGTCGGAATATTTGTCCATGGAGATAAACTGAAAGCAGCAATGCATACACCTCCTTTAAAATCTCTCCCACCGGCTCATTCATTTCTTTTACTGTCTTCAATCCTTGCATCCCCAGCAGAAAATGAGGCTTCAAGTCTTGAACTCTTAGTAGCAGTGGCTTTATTGTTTTCCTAAGGCGTGGGGTTGTTAGCATTACTCTAAACTTTCCCTCTTTTCCGCGATTACTGCCAGCTAGTTGAGGTTTAGCAGTACTCTGGTCAGGATGGAAGCCAGACCCTGTGCATGGCTGGCGAGCCTCCTACCATTGAAACATAAGCGAATTTCACTGATTAATGAAACAGTAATGTATTTAAATAAGTGTAAATAATCTTAATCTATTATTGTGAACTATATTATCTTATTCAAACATTCTTTTATGTTTTTATATTTAGAATTTTGAGGCAATATATCTTATTACTGAAGGCGAATCTTCTATGACAGCACCAGGGTTACTTGAAAGTGTTGTTAAAAATTTGAAATGCCCTCTTCATATTGTTTCTTATCGTTGTGAAAGTATGAAAACAATAGAATATTTGCATAACTTGTGCACATATACTGGAGGACGGTAAGAATTAATAAAATCACAGTAATGTAATTGGAAATATTGTTAGTTGATTGCCTCTGTTGGTCTTTATTCACACAGATGCAGTAAAATAATAAAGTCGAATCTTATAACATTCGGTAAAATAACTTTTGCAGCTGAATAGACATTTGAGAATTGTTTTGTTTTCTCCTTGGAGAGCGTCAAAATGAATACATATGACTTTAATTTTTTCAGTTTGGTAGTTAAAAAGTTACAGATAGTAATGGGAATGCAATGTGGATATAAACTATGGTATAGTAGTATATTGGTAATGTCATCTGTAAATACTGACCGGTTCAACTGAGGAAGTTTGTGAGAATGACGTTTTTCAGCCACTCATCTGTGATTCTCAGCTATCTGAAGTCAGATTTTTGTTTTATATATATATATTATCTGATGAAATTTTTTGAACAAGTCCGTGGTGTTCATGTGAAACCATATCTTTCTTCCATAATCTTCAGAGTGAAATGGTCGGTTTAAGGGTTTACGGGAGATTTTTAAAGTTCTTATAGGATCAAAAGCTTATTATTGCACTTCGTAGTAATTAACTTCCTAACAGTAGTCTTTTATTAATATCAGTAAAAAGTTTGAGCATTGTGGATTAGATCAAATAAAGTATAATTATATTTTAATAGTTTACACACAATGATAAGTTTTGTTCCAATTCCAACACTGGTGTGAACACGGGCAGTAATTTTGCTCGAAATATTACCAATAACAAAACTTATCATTGTGTGTAAACTATTAAAAAGTAGTCTTTTAAGTTAATAACTGATTTTAAAATATCTCATCTTACCTGTGTTTAACAGAGTTACTTTTGAAGTTAAAAGGAACCAACACCCTATAGTTTAGCAAACATATTAGAAAAATGTGTGTGTTTCGTATTCTTCTTCAATGACGTCATGCTGAAGTTAGCGCTGTAAATGTTGTCTATTAAGTCACTGAAAGCTTTACAATCAAAGCATTCATTTCAGAGAAAACAATTACACCAATACAATGTTATGTTTTCAGTGAGATATAACGATTCGATTTTCCATCTTACATCGGTTAGAATCTACACACTACTGAACAACTTCTAACAGTCATGAAATATTTGTCAAGTACTTTCAAGATTTTCAATCACTCTCAGAATGTTTATGATTCATGGTGGAAACTATTTTGAAATTTATTATTACCTCAGTAACTTTCAATATATATATTTTTAAGTTTGGACCTCACTTATTTTAGATAACGGAATTTTCATTTCTCAAATTTTACTTCTTTTGATGGTCACCAGAAGTAATGTTAAACTGGAGATCGGTATGAACACTATAAAAATATTTTTTGTTGTTGACTAGTGCAAAATTTTTGACTTGCAGAAAAACTATAATCCACAATGAAGACTGTGATTCGGTCTTCTTAGATTCAAAGTATTAAAGCTACCTACCAATCATTCAGCTGGTCCAGTCAACTGACTGACATAGTTTCAAAGTAGAACTTTGCACAGAATTACGGTATTGGAAGTCACCACACTCCATATATTACACAAAGGCAGAGAAGGAAAACATATTCAAAAAAGCTGTGATGAGTAGAAATGGATGGGAGAAGTAATGATTACGTGGAGATACATGTGGTCCTAATGGATCTGGTATATTACATGGAGTGAATGAATTTGCGTTATTGAGAATGGTTTTTAGCCATATCACTAAAAGTTTCAAACTGTTAGTTCTTAGCATCTTGAGGAACGTAACCAGATAGTCTACACCTAGTTATGTGGCTCGAATACAAAGTGAGAGACTTTATGGATCGATAGTAGGTTTCTACCTGATCGCTATTGCTCTAACCCTTTTCAGATTACTTTTCTCTCCGAGGAAAGCGATGACTTGTCATGCGATACACATTTCTAAGCCATCTAAATCGATATAGTTTCACAACTTCATCAACTGACTTTCTGTCCTTACCTAACAATGTACACCTAAGCCCATTATTACTCAAGATATCATGCCAAAACATGGGTGGTAAAACACAAGTATCTGCAGTTAAAGACAGCTGTTAGCGCTGTATTCAGCCATGTATGACTTATTAGTGTGGTCGTTTGAAGATACTGAATGGCAAACATAGTCTTAAATCTGTGACCAGTGAGCAATCGTTATTAGTGAATTTCACCTTGCTTAGTTCACATAAGTAATCACTAATGGATAATATGTTTCAAGCTACCAATGGACAGTGATTGATACTTTTGTTTGTAATTTTTCCCGATATGAAAGTCTTGCAGTATGGTCTTTCAAAAGAATAATAATAGTGTTCATCAGTCTTGATCAAAATTTTCAGAAATATATCAAGGCATGGTTACTACGAATATGTTTGTGTGGTGTATTAGTTAGCCACCAGATATTTATTTGTTTAACATACGTTTAAATTGATGAAGAGATCACTGGAGAGTAAATACCGTCATACTTCTAGTCCTGTGTATTGACGCAAACTGAGTTGTACCACTGAAGTTCGTAATAAGCTGACTCACTACCACGTTGTACTTCAAATTACTGTTAGATGGTTAAAGGCAACCAGCAGGAAGCCCTGGACCTGGGTTCGGTGGTTTTTTAAACTCACTACTAAGAAAAATGTGCAATCTTCGAAGTTACTGTGCTTACTAGTGCCAACACGTAAGATGCCTAGATCAAAGGTTTTCCACCGATTGTCTCCAACCATCTAACGTCAATACCTTTGGATTCTAAAACTGACTGTGTAAATAAAGTTTCAGAAAATCAAAGAAACTTAGTAGTGGCATATTCTTTTATGTTTATAACTTTAGAATTCGCTCAACATAAAAATTGTTTTCCTCCATTTTAATATTCCTTTACAACCTCTTTCTTTCAAATCAAAATAGATTTCATGCTTATTGTGTCAACATGCATATTCCATTATATTCACCAAGTTGTTGGGATGCAGAACAGTTTCAACAATCACTTCAGGTGAATACAATTGAATACGGTGGTCCCCCCAAAGGATGGGGTCAACAAGAAGATTGTATATTGATATTTGAAGAGTTAGAAGAAGCTCGATCTATATTACAACGAATTGAACAAGTGCTGCGTGATTTTGAGTCTACACCAAATTCCATAATTCAAGAAAACAATAGTAAGATGGCATTTCAATGAAATTCTGAAACAGTGTACTAATATTTGCTTCTCTCAATTATTTATTTGTTTATTTATGGAATTTATTTAAAAATTTTAAAAGTTACAAAAAGAGTATGAATCGAGTTAGGTAAACTACAATTTATAAAATCAAAACACCTAGTATATCGATTAAATCACTGACTGTTGGTCTGAGTTGTGTAAAAATTGCCCGTTTCTTTTCAAGTGTCTCTAAGTAATTCATTATCACAGAATGAAGAATTTTGTCAGGATGAACGGGCATTGATCATAATAGAAAGGTTGGATTTTTCTTCCTTTGAGTCTGAAACAATTCATGTTACACAGTGACCACCGCACTTATATGTAAGGCGGTGTCGACTTTAATGGACTAACGTCTGACATGTGTCTTCAGAGGATGATCACTTTCACCTGACAACAATGTTAGCTAAATCATAATCTAACGCAGAGAATGCTAGCCGCAACATGCCATCATCAGTGACCTGAAATGATGTACTCCGTAATAAGTTCTGAGCTGTTCTGTTTGTCTAATCACTGTGCACCGGATATTTTTAGCAGACCACGTTATAGGACTAATTTTAAGCACACTACATCTTTACATCATTTTATTAAGAATTAAAATGTTTAATTAAATTGATGACGATTTAAGGATGGGCGAAATGGTTACCCGAATTTCTCAAAATGAGTAAATAGTGTGGCGATTGCTGAAAACACTGATAATAAGACAGTATTGCCTTTGTATTATCTGGGTAATATGTGCTCCGAAAATCAATCGTTTCGTCTACTATTTGTCACCAAGTTTTAATAACAGGGATATATCTTTCCTTTTTCTCAAACTACAAAAATTAAAATTTTAGTTTAATATATACTTGATGTTACTTTAAAAGTGTTTAAAAGAACTGGAACTGACAGAATGATTAGACTAGTATCTCAAAAGTCACTATATATTCCATAAGATGTAGACTGATTAATCATCATATTTATTTGGGAGCAATCGGCTGGAAGCCGTGGAACTAGGTTTTGCGCTTTTGGGTACGTATCACCGCAGTTTACCTACAACCTTGGAGGAATTAATATACTCTTGGAGATTCTAACTGACCTCAGTGCGCGAAGATGAAGATTCACCTAGCCTGGCAACTCACACTACAAACTTCACCGATAGAATTCATTTAGAATCAAGGTTAAAGACTAGACATATGGCATCGATTACTGTCCAGTGACTAATCAACGTAATGACTTATTGAAAATCTAAATCAAACGTTAGATGACTAACTAATATAGACAAAAAAAAATATTGTATATTGTTTGGCTATTGTGTAAGTGGTCACTCATCTAACAGCTTTATTCTTTACCTGAAGATACCTAACCAGCAACAACAAGCAATGATCATCATCAATGGAAGAAATCTAAAGGAAGTCATCTCCTTCGTTTATCCAGGGAGCATCTTTTCAACTACAGGCGGCACAGATCAGCATGTTAAAGATAGCCAGGATCGGAAAAACAAGACAGACCTGCATTACCCTGAAGTAAACGTGGAAATCTACTGCAATCAGCATAAGGAATAAGATCCGGATCTTCAACACTAACGTTAAGTCAGTGCTTCTACATGATCCAAAGAGTTGAAGCGTCCCTAAAAGCCTTTCCACCAGGCTGAACATTTCCATGAACAGCTGTCTACTATGCTGGATGCTAGTGATTAGACTGCCAGCCAAAAAGCATAAGCAATGGGGAACTTTGGCAACAAACCTACCAAGGACCTTTTGGTTAACAAATTTGCAGAAATAAATGGATATGGACCGGACGAACATTAAAGAAACCACCGAGTGACATCACACGCCTGCAGGTACTTGAATGGAAGCCGACTGGGAAATGACGAGTTGGGATTCTGACGGTGACATGCAGAAGGCCGTGTGAGAAGGAGATGAAAAGTGGTCAGATAAAAAGAGAGTTCAGAGATAATAATATATATATATATAATACTGTGTGATAACAACAAAAGATCTGTAACAATAAAGTCTAGAGAAGTTATTGAAAACATTTCTTCCCTCGAATTATTCTTATTAAAGATAAATAATTGGGTTATATATGTCCAAACCAAGTTCACTTTTAACAGTTGAAAGAATTTGGGCATTGGGTATATGATATTCATTATAATAAAGGTTTTTATATTTCCCAATGAATGAAAAACAAAACGATATCGTTTTGTTTTAACTGTAAAGACTGAGTCATCTATTATAATGAAAAGGTTTCCGTTTTTTTTTCAAAATATAATGGATTTGTGAGTACAATAAATCACTGTTGTAGACTTGGCTGGCTCCACGATTGACCCTAAGCTTCCACCTCCTCTTTACACAACCTTTTCCATGTCACTGTCGGACTCCCAACTCATCGCTTCCTATTCGGCTTCCACTTGAGTACCTGCCAAACGTGTTATATCACTCAGTGACCCCTTCAGTGTTCGTCCAGTTCACCTTCCTTTGCTGCAGACATCCTGCAGTATACAGTATTAAGATAAGACAATTTATATCACAAAGTATATATATATGTAATAGTATTCTGTTTGTCTGTACATTTCTTTGGAGTAATCATATTTTCTGTCAATATAACTGACTACAACTTGCCTCTTGAAACCTGTACTTTTTTGTGGATTATAAATCCACAAATACGTCATTTGATCTCATGTTCTTATTGACCAAACACTTTATGTGGACTTAAATGACAGTCAAAACCAAATGACTATTATTATTCCATCCTCTACTTGTATCACAATACAACTTCTGGTATAATTATAATTTGTCTTTACTAGCACTGCTGTATGCTAATATTAATGGATTTCATACATGAATTTCCCTTAATGAACTTCAATAAAGCAATAACAACACAGGTTGCAGAATAAAACTGATTCATTGTTTATTTCACTGGTATTTTATCAGCTGCATGACAGTGAAATTTAACATATTTCAGTTCATTGGAGATCAAATGTGAAATAGTAATCAGGTATAATCATGATGTATAAATAAATCAAATTTTAAGTTTGTATAATATTGGATATTGCTGAGGTACATAAATTACGCAAGACAATTGAATCACATTACACTTATAAGTACAGCAGTATTCTGTATTTTACTAACTTAACATTTGATTCATCTATGATTCATCTACATACCATGATCATTCTTAATTAGTGTCCTACATTTCATCTCCAATGAATTGAAGTATGTTTAGGCTGCAATAGAACTATGAAATCTTATTATTTAAGTTGTCTGTAGCCTTCGAAATACCGATGAATTAGATAGTGAATCCATTTCATCCTGTTACATGTGACGAAGCTGTTACTGAGAACAACTATTCCCTCTAATTATGCTCATTTTGTCTATGTAAATCATACTGCTGTACTGTATTCTCACTGTTAAAGCATTTCATTCTGTTTACTTCTGCATGCAGATTTCAATTCAAAAAATAGTCACACATCTACTACGCATAATTATGATGAACATAGCTGGAAACGTGAAGAGCATATGTCATCAAAGGAATGGTTAACTATTCATGGTTTAAAAGCTCAACACTTAGATTTCTATGATTTACTAGCCAATATTTCATTTAAACACTGTGATGGTGTAGTAAATGTTTTAAAACCTCCAATAGAATATGATAAGAGCAAAAAGGTATTTATCAATACAAGATCAGAGGATGATGATATAAACAGAACAGATGAAGATTTCGGGATAGGCAGTCAGCCAGAAACGGATATTAAAAATTCATCAGCAATTTGGACATCTGACGCAGTAAGTTCACTAATGATGTTTCGAACACAATTTATTCCTCATAATCATACCAAGGCTATTATAAGCAACAAATTGTGTTTGAAATGTCATCAGTAAATAACTCTGTATCATTGTGAGTTTTTATGAAATGAAATCATTCTATGGTAGGGCAGAAGTAACACTAATAAACGAGAAATTAAATTCTCAATAAGTAAAAAAATTCACCACACTTTCCTTGGGAAGCCATACCATGATAGTGTAGTATGATGGTACATAGTACTGACTATTGTGAGTAGCTGGAGACCACGCAAATAAACCAGAAGTGGCCGCTCAATAACTGAAAATTTAGATAAAATAGTGTTTTATATTGCCAAAAAATGAGTGAAATTGCTAATGGTGACCAGTGGACTATAAAAAATAATAATCATAATAACAACAGTAGTAGTAAAGAAAGGGTAGACAGATTAATTTAACAAAGCCGAAAAACAAATAGATGTTTTGATCCCCTTTTTTTCCTATGGCTAGGGTAGAAAGACGAACTGTTCACAGTTATTGGTTCACGAACGTTTGGCTTCAGTACATGAATAGCCGAGGTCTCTTCAGTTCTTAAAAGTTGTAAAAGAAGAGAATGTGATAGGTTTGCTTGGATTCTATAAGTAATCTTAAAATCATTGTTAGGATTAGTTGGGTGATGAAAGTCGATCAAGTTTCCTCAAATAGAGCTATTCACACCATTTCTTTCCCTGATAGAGAGATGGAATTATTTGAAATCGCATGCTGGCAAAATTTTACAAAGTGTCTTGGTAGTATGGAATTCAGGTTTCTTTGCTTGTTTAAATACCTTTTGGTCAATATCAATAATAAGAGGTGATAGCCCTAAAACAGTTTGTTGCACTGTAAACTAGAATCACTCACCGTTTATTGCTACCCAAAATTATAGTAATTTGAAGCAGTTTACTTTTTTTGAGATTTTACGTGATGTATTGTTTTTATGTCATTTTACCCCACCATCGGAAATTAGACTAGAGCAGACGTCAAGAATGCTTTTTTAAGTGTTTGAATTACTGTAAATAATAAATAGAAATGTAGATTTGACTATGAAACAGTGCAGTCTAAATAATTGGTGAAAATCTGTTGTTCTGATTTGAAATAGGTTACCAAGGTGAAAAAAGGTGACCTAATACTGCTTTACACTGTGTTTCACTTTCAGTTTAATTCCATTCATTTCAGTAGTCAGTTTCATACCAATGATAATGATTGTTCCTTGACATTAGGCATCTTATCTAGTGTTAAATTAGTAATGTTGCAGGTGTTTCGAAATGTTTTACTTACCTCTTACTTTATTTCAAGATTGTCCAACCCAGGCTAATCAATGCACAATATTGTAGTAATTTTGTACATGTTCGCGCAAAAGATGGTACTATAGTACATGTACAAGTTACACAAGAGCTCTATAGATCATATTCACGACGTATGCAATCTAGACTAAATGCTATAAGGCATCGTTTGAATTTTTTAAGACAAGGATCAAGGGAACTATTTGGAACAATAACAGAAGATGATGTAAGTCTGTATTTTTGATAATTACTCTTAACTGACTATATGCCTTTTATTGGGCTTTTAGTATTCTGCTACTAGATATTAGACAGCTAAATGTAAAAGGAAAAAATTCTTGAGGGAAATGCTTCTTACTTTTTGTAACCGTAAGGAAATTATTGTTTCTCGTTATGTCACATTTTTCACCATTCATTGCTGTAAGCAGTGACGTACTACTCTTGAGTAGACGACCGTATTTTAATTACTGACAAAACGTACTATATTTCCTTTCTTTATTTTTTTATCATACGCATGTAAATACAGTATATTGTTATGTAAAGTCAGTTGACCTGTTCCCTAGGTTGCATAAAATATTGGGCTCATTGGTTTAAACACTGATTTTCCAGTCTGTGATCTCTAGAATTTGAATTCTACGCCATCTCTCTCAGCCTAAGCATCTGGGTTGCATCACCAACCCTCACACAAAGAGTGTGGCTATTGGAATGGTAGATGGTTGATTTGTCTTCGGGAGCTCTGTTCAAGCTGAGGTTCAGCATAAATCTTCATCGACCGTCACATTTCTCACTCTACGTGATCTTTTACCTACAACTTGTCGTCGTATTTGTAATATTATTTGACTTAAATACAAGTATACAAACCAAGCTTTCTGTGAGATTACAGAGACAGATGACAAACACTATTATTATAGTTTATGTTCCTTGTGGGAACATACCTTTGAAGAGGAGTACTATAAGTAAGATCACAATAAAGTAACTTGAAATTACTAGTTTGATGCTGGCTAGCAGTAAAATTCAAGGAGCGCGTTTCATCTTATTTGGGGGTCGTCAGCTGAAAGTATCTGCCCCCGGATGAGTTGTTATGTAAGGTCAGTTTTTCTAGTCCTCAGGACTCACAGACGATCTTTCACGGCTGAGGGTGGACAGTCTCCGGTCTCCCACTCGAAATGCTCTCCTGTGACCACGTGATCACAGCCTCCACTGGGTAAGCTTCTACTTACTGCCTTCACGTGGTGGGGGTGTTCTACACAAAGTGTAAGGGAAAATGCGAACTTCTGGCGCTTACAAATGGACTTGTGGACATGCAAGTCTACCTGAGTGGGGGCCGCTGGGAAACTCTAAATTCAATCCTATGATGTACGTGAGCTGCAGAATTCTAAAGGATCAAATGGCATATGAGCTTATTTTGATCACTGGCAATCATGGGAAAGGAGCTGCTGATGCTGTTCCACTGCCTTTATTTCAGATTCCGAGTCAAGGGTTTGAAGGTGGCTACTTAAGATAAACACCTACTTTGGTCTGAGCTCCCAAACAATATCCTGGTCCATATTAGTTTGTTTATTAGATGTATCACACAGTAATACAGTATTATTTACTAGATAACGTTTCGAACAAAATTCATTGTTCATAATCATATCAATTATAATCAATATCCTGGCCCTAATATAAACTACGAGGTTTTGTGTGGCGCATCTCTTGGTTCCTAATTTTGTATTTCAATAATCATTATAACAGTCCTCAGACGACATAAATTTTGTCGGTGGAGACTTGATTTATTGACTTAAGCACAAAACATTCAGTGAGTTTCTGGTTCGAATGCCAATCCGCCTACTTCATGCTAGACAGCTGGTTAGTATTATCAGTTGTCACGCAACAAGATAGGCTCATAGACTAGTGGGTGGTACATGAAAGACCTGTTATACTTAAACGAGTTCAAACTAATATTCGGAACTCATTTGCATACATCATCACATGTCAACATGACATTTCAAAAGAGACTGTTCACTCCAATATAAATCAATCAACAGAAAATACAAAATGATTTAAACAAAAACAACAGATGTTTGTGACACAACAGGTGGCTCTTATAGTTTAGCGGCCTAGTGGATAAAGCTTTGGCGTTTGGAGCAGTAGGTGCTGGGTTCAGTTTTGGGTGTGAACAGTACCATCACTCAGTGGGGAGTAAGTACATTCAGATGACTAGTCTCAAAAAAGATGAAACTCATTTTTCTGAATTCCATTGCTAGGTGAACAAAAAACAAGTAGCATCAAATATCCTATTTGTTTCAACAAATCAGATTTATTTTGATCAATTAAGTTGATTCTAAAATATGTAGTGTTTAACTGATTAATTTTTTTATAGCTTCCTCTTTCTTCTCACATTACCTAGGTGTATATCTTAATTGATACTAGTACATCAATGTTGTCATGTATCGAATTTGTCAAGGAAAAGTTACTTCAGTTAATATATGAACAGTTGAAGTATAAAAACCGTTTGAATTTAATAGCTTTTAACTCAATTATCAATGCATGGAGTAGTCATTTGCAAAGCACTACAGAAGCCAATTTAAAAGTAAGTTTTGTTACTCTTTTTTTTTTAAATTACAGTATAAAAAGCTTTGTGCAATAAGTAGTTTTCTCCAATGCTGACAACTTTAAATGAGGTTTGAGATTTCGTTAATATATTTATCCTTTTATGAGTAATTATTGTAGAAGTCTATATTCAAATCTGAGAAGCAAAGGTCACGAATAATTCTAGGATTTCATAAGCGTTGGAACCTTCAGTCTAGAGTATGAAATCACTGCACTGATTTCTCGCTAGGAATTAATTAGTCTGATTTGTCTAGTTCAGAATGTTGATACTGACTGAATTCTATCACTCAGTTTTGCAATGTGGTCACCAAGTTATGTGACTCACTATCACAGTGCACTTTGGATAGATGTTAGATGGTTGAAGGTCTAGATAACTCAGTGGTAATGTCTTCGACTGACTGAGTGACTTGGTTTCCAACCCCTGAGCTGCCATCAGTCCCTCTAAGACTACAGATATGCGTTGATAACAAGTAGTCATAGATACAAAACCGAAGTCCTTAAGGCCTTCTAGAATCAACGAAGATTATTATTAAACTTCCTTTATAATATAAGAGAATGGTAGCCAATGCACTATAAGTGTCATAATGGTAAGACCGCGGCCAATGAACGAACATGTACAACTGAGTTCCACAGTATCAATCATTTATTAGAAATAGTGAAGACTGATCACTATGAGCAAGTCAACCAACGAGGATCTTTACAAATATTTAATATTTCAAGTCAACTAATATTACATCAAATTATTAATTAACCATTTGGAATAGATTTCTAAAATACTGATGCAAAGCTACAATTTTTAGATTTGCAATAAATATTTAATTTGAATGGTAAGAGCCTTTTAAAACAAAAATATGCCGGGTGACAAATCACATCCACCAAAACATCCATATTCGGCTTTAATCGCCAAATTCATAATACAACAATCCTATTCGTTGTCAAATGATGAGATTTACCTATTTATTCATGAATAAGATAAAAAGACAAGGAATCTAAGTTAGGTTTTATGACGAACGGAAATCAATCTGAGAACGATTGAGAATTAAGGTGTGCTAAACAGATGTTTTGTGTTCATTTGGAATTCTTTACCAGTACTCACCCGTGTAAATGATCTTCAGATTACGAGGCGAGCGTTTCACCGTTCTTGCGTCGGTGGTTCGGTAGTAAAACGCTCACCAACCACGGTTTTGACCTCGGTTTGATTCCTGGCTGGCTCACTCCCAAATCTCACTAAGCGGGTAGTAAGCCTGGAAAAGAGCGAAGATTGAGGGTGAGGCTAAAAAACTCACCGTGTAAAAATAACACCGTCTCTAAGCAAACCTTCAAAAACTTGACGGCCTATGTTCTACTCAGAAGGCAATGGAATGAAGAAAACGCCAACGTACAGTCACTTAATCAGAATCCGAAAACTCACGAATTCTAACTTTTGTTAATTGGTAAGAAGTTATTTCCCTGACATTTTTATTTGTTTTCTTCTAGAATTATGCAAATAAACTTTACGAGTAAAATAACCATTGCGAATGTGTATTACTTTTTATTGTCTCTGCTGTTTACTAAACAGTTTATTTTTCATTATATATTAGTCTGCTATGAAATGGATTGAAAAGTTAACTTGTGGTGGTTCTACAAATACACTGAAAGCTCTTCAGTTTGCTTTAGAAGATAATTTAACACAAGGAATTTATTTACTCACTGATGGTAGACCTGATCAAGAACCACAAAAAATATTACTCAGTATGCATTTAAATCATCGTATTCCAATACATACCATAAGTTTCAATTGTAATGATACTGAGGCGAATGAATTCCTTATTCAATTAGCTCAAGAAAGTGGTGGACGATTTCATTACTATAACAGATTTCCAAGTGATTTAAATAGACCAGAACAATGGGAGGTATGAAATAAGTTGAGCTTTTTTCCTCTTCTAAAATTTTCTGAAGTCATAAATAGCTTAAAGTTAAAGTTTATGATATTTTACGTGTTTCTGAAGTGAACCAAATGAACACCTTTGAATTTTGCATAAGTGTGCTGTAGTTCAGTGTTATAAAACTTCATAAAAGCATATAAAATATGAAATATGAAGAAACTACAATAAACATGCTTGATAAAATTAAGGTTTTTACTTTCTCTTAGATTCCAAACGCAGTTGAGGTCAACTCTTCAGTGATATTCTTAGTAGTGTGATGGCTTATTTCCGTTGTGAAATCTCTTCCATCATATAATACTTTCAATGTACACCATTTGCGTTTGCGTGAGTACCCCACCTTTTGGTGATCATTATTTATTATGATTCATCTGAGTTCTGAGTTGAACATAGGGCTTCAGAAGCACACTACCATTACACTCTATTTTAGTTGACTGCATGACCGCTCATAAGCTTTCATTTTTGCGTCACGTAATCTCCTCCATGTTACTCATGGACCACCGCCCTAATCGTCGCTACCCATCCAGGTCCCTCTCGAGGGCCTAGAGTGTGAAGTCACTCAGCCATCTTCTTAGAGTGTTTATAACCCATATCGATTTCTTCCTGCGTATTTATTGGGCGGTAGGTTCCTGATCGTGCCGTTGCCAGAGTTCCTTGTCGCTAACCGTTTCTGGTCCAAGAAGGAGTGATTGCGGTAGCTATCAATGGAAGTCTTCATTAGCCTGATGGAAATGCTTTTGTCGTCTCACTAAGTCTCTGAACAGGTCAAGCTAGTAACCGGAACTTGAAAGTAACCTTCAGTGAACATAAAACTAATTGGCGAGAACTGAGTGTCTTTATTTCACCATTCAGTTATTTACCTTTCAGTTAATCATGCCACTTAGAAATGATTTAAAGTTATAAAAAATTTTGTTGTAAAGTATAAACTGTGTGAACGACCGGGTTATCAGCGTAGAATTTTGCACAAAGATTGTTCAGTTCAAGTTGCCACACTCCATAGGACATACAAAGGTAAGGAGAAAAAAGCTTCAAGGGAACTACAATGAACGAAAATGCATAAGACAAATAAAATGCACATATGGAATAATGAGAATTTGATGGGGCTAGAGTTTCATATAGAGTGAATGTACTGGAACCACTGAGAACCACTTGAAGTAATGTCACCATCCACACTACACTACCCTATTTCCCAGGTTCATACCAGCAGTCAGGGACCTTGTGGACTAATGAAGTGTGTTGACTTGACCGCCTATAAATATTTCACAAACTAATTCTATGTACGACCAACATTATTGTCTCCTTACCTAACCTTCCAAGCCCAACCCAAGTAATGCTCACCATCTTATGCCACTTAACACGGGAGATGGAATGGAAACACGTATAATCATAGACAGCTAGCCTCCTCAGTTCTTCTATTTTTAGTAGCCATCTTTTGCGGCCATAAAGAAAGACAGAGAGAACTGCTGCGTAGTATACACGTTCTTTGATCGATAGCCGGATATCGCATCTACAGCGGTGTTCTTTATCATATGCTTTGTCATCAAGTGTGCGTTGGTGGTACAGAGCTTAGGACGCTCGCCGACTATGCACATTGTCCGGGGTTCGATACCCGACTGACGCACACCTGCTAAATTTGGGCTACCGGTATCACATGCTGAAAATTCCATGAAATCAAGCTATAATAAAATTTAATAAAAAATTAAAATTAAGAATATTTAAGGATGATGCTTGATAAGAGGACGACATTTTTCCTTGAAACGTTTTGGTATTAATCGAAATTCTATGAAGAAAAGGGATAATACGTGAATATTTCATAACCATCATCAAATATTCTTGCTAGATAACATCTTAACAGAAGCATCATGAAAAGAATCATTTCAAGTTTGTTTCTAGTTGATAGACAGCATGTGAATATGTATGTAGCCTTCGATTTAAATTAAACCTTTGATCAAACATTCTATTCTGATATTAGGTGGTAGAAGAGAACTTGTATTATACCAAATGATATCTCCTGTTTTAATTTTAAAGTTATTCAGGTTAAGTGAATACTTCAAACGACATCACGATTCTATGGTAAATCAAGTTAGGTCGATTTAATTTTTCAACCAACTCTATCTGTAAACTATCAAGTTTCTAAATATCACGAAGTATTTTTTCTCAGATATGTGATTTCTGTACTGCATAATGTTCCTTTTGTTTTTATAAGCTGTATAAAAGTTATGGGGGAGGGAACTTAATGAAAATAATCAGAACATACATAATCTTCTGTTGGAATGGCTTAACAGCACACCTTATAACTAATAAGGCTGTCTCGTCTTTGGTGCATCGTTTGAAATCTACCCATTAGTCGTATAGTGTGATGACTACGCTAAATTATACGATACACGCTACTGAATACTTTAATGCATCCTAATTCCATCTAAGGTGTTAGGATTAGCCAGTCAATCGGAAAACCTGGTTCCACAAACTAGTCGACAAATCTCAGTCAATACATATGTTAGTAGGTAGCTGCATTGGTTGTACGTCGGTGGTTCACCAGTGACGCAAATTTTCTGGGTTTAACTCCCCACTGACAAACTTAATAAAAATCGCCTAGTTCACCAACCTGTGGTAAGTCCCGGAAACAAGGAAGGGTGGGCATGAAGTTAGCAATCCCACCCCGTCGAACAAAAATAACAATTTTGCTACCGAAACTTGAAAGCTTTGTGCCTTTTGTTCCTCTCGAAAAGCAATTAATGTTAAAAACACATTTATAGCGAACCATGTGAGTAAAGAGAAGACAAGATTTTTTGCCTATTTAACTGACAGTATTGACCGAATCTCGAATCACTATGTCGATTTTAGAGTGAAGATATTCGACTATTAGAAAATGAATATCAACTTGGTTTGGATAATTTGGAGAAATTAGCCCAATTGAGAGACGAATGTCATTTATTACGTATGAAATCAACTAGGAATAACAACAAAGAACTAACACCACTGAGGAAGAAATCATCTTCAAAATGCTTTTCTTACACTTCAAACACAGACACAACAAATTCAATAAAGGATTCAATATCTTCTGTTAAACCAAAACAATCCAGGCGGAAATTGTGCACAGCTACTCCGTCTACTCATTTTAGCAATAGTAGTAGCCGAAGGAAGGAAGCAAACTTTCCAAAGTGTTTAAGTGCGACAATTGATACTACTAATGAAAGACGTTCACAAAACTTTACAACTAGAAAGCAGTCTATAAGAAAAATTTTCAGTGGTAAGTTAGCGTTTCTTTTCATCTTTCCCATCTTGTTTAACAATGTATTTATTACTCATAGTCATTATATGAAGGCATTCACATACCTCTCGAACTTCATCTGTATAATTCTATTATTTCTTATCCTTTGATTTTATTGGTTGTAATATTCTCCGTGTCTCTGGTATGGACAATGAACCGAATCTGTTGCATGTGTTATGTGTAGACTTGATGAACGAAGATCCAGTAACCAGCTTCTCTCACCACCTACCCATATTACTTTTTAGAACTGTTACTCTGCCTCTCCCCCCAATCGTGTGATTTTGTTTAGGTGCATTCATTGTAACTGTTGAGTTTTTGTCTAAACTATTCATCTTCCTAGTGTTAGTCATTCTAAAGTTAGCCAAATTCTTATCTTCCAACTGCCAGACTATCACCGATCTACTCCTCTGATATATGCAACTAACCTCACAGTTATTGCAAGGTTTTCTGTAGATTACACTATTTTGTTTAATTGGTTTAATAGCGACCTTTAGCATACAGTGCTTGTTCATCAGTGAGCCTGAAGGTTTAAATGCCACTTTAATTCCTGATCTAATAAGAACCCTGTAAAACTGTAGATGCCTTAAATTATTTCTCATTTATGGCCGAAAGTCCCACTCCTATTTTCCTTTTACTTGTCAGCTTTTGCGGGTCTTAATGAATTTAATGGGAGAGTTACTTGGTACGCCTCTTCTATCTGCTTAATTTCGTTATTTAGGTTTTCTCATGTACTAATTAGAGTTATGGCTCGGTTTCTTAGGCACTTAAGTAAGCCTTCATCACTTCAAGTAACGAATATGATGATTTAAAGTGCGTTGGCTTTTTATTAAAAAAACGGTTGTGAATAATTTACCCTCTCCTGTTTGCTTTACTTTACAATCTAACACAGCTGATTTCCCTTATTCATTCTGTGATTTGAGTGCAAATTTTACTCTACCCACTCCTGAGGTTTTACGTGTGAAGAAACTAGAGGTATGTTTTGTCTTTAACATCGTGGATGTCATATAATTATCTACACCATATCTTCAGGGTAGGTTTAAATATTTTACAAGCCATATTTTCCCAACTATCTATAAAAATTATAGACGATCATATATACTGAGTTTGAAAGTTATCGAAATGCCTTGATATGATGACTATGAACAATAAGATGTGCTTGAAACATCAACAGTATAAAGATTCTATCGCTGTATATCTTTATCAAATCAATTCATTGTATTGTGGAAAAATGCTCATTCTTCTAAAAGATTCTTAATTCTTTGATTCGTAAACTATAGTTTTACGTGGTTTCTGACTGCTTCCTTAGATTAAACACTTCAGTTTTCACAACCGTCTTAAAGTATTTGATCTTTTAGTCTTTCTAACATAAATTTCAGTTTATATGTATATATATTCAACTGTTAGTTGATGGGTGGCACTAGTACAAGAAAAACGAAAGCTTTATGAAGAAACGTCAAGTCAGTTCTTCTATACGGATCACAAACTTGGCGGGTCACAAAGATTATTTCCAACAGCCTATTGCAGACCTTTATCAACAATCGTCTTCGTTCTATACTCAATATCAGATGGCCGGAAAGAATCACCAACAAGAAACTATGGGAACAAACAAAACAAGAACCAATCGCCAAACAAATATGCAGGAGAAAGTGGAGATGGATTGGACACTCGCTGAGGAGGCCGTTGGGTGACATCACGCGTCAGGCCATTGCTCGAGTGGAACTCGAAAGGGAAGCGGCGAGTGGGACGTCAGTGCAAGGGTGACATGGAGGAGATCGTGTGAAGGGCAGTTGAAACAGTATGGACTAACATGGATGCAAGTGAAAAGTACAGCAGAAGAGAGAAGCAAGTGGAGACGTGCAGTTGAAGCCCTATGTTCCACTAGGAACCCAAGGGAACAATAATAATAATATGAAGAAGAGGAATCTTTACTGTCAATTAAGTAAAAATCCAGAAATATGTTGTCTGTCTTTTATTTCTGTCTAGTTGGCCATCGTTTTTTAAAATCTCTCTGTAGCTTTGCTTAATCTTTCATTAAAGAGGAGGATATAACTGAAATTTACTGAATCAAGGATCGAAAATTACAATAAGACCAACTAGATTTAATAGATTAAAAAGGACTGTTGAAATCCTCTTTTGTTCTTGTTGGTTACCTTGACTGCCATAACCTACATCAAGGTGACCAAACGGATAATTCTTTTTTTATTTGAGTATGAATACACCGTGAAACATAACATGATTCAGAAGCCAGTAGTTCTTCATAGTGGTAACAGAGAACTAAGGTGAACAAACCAACTTCAGCAAATAGCTAGTTTCATTTTGAAGATGTAAAGAGTATACACTTAAAGCTTACTGAATTATTTGTACTCAGACTTTTAATACAATAAAAACATTGTCACAGGATTTCCTTTTCTGAGTTATCTGCTCACAGACTGCAGTCAAACTAATGAATTAAAGTTAAATGGGATTCACAAACTTACGTTCTTTCTGGAGTAGGCGTGAAATCTTACTACCTATCTAAGGATGCGTGTACTGTACATAATTTTTCTTTATCTTTTTTCATGGCTGTGAGATGAGGCCGTGGATAAGTGAAGATATGAAGAGCCTATCTACTTGTTATCTTAGGTGCACACGTGTTAAGTGGCATACTCTGACGAATAATATCAGAGTTTTAATTGAGGAGGGAGAATCGATCGATGATGTTATGAAGCTGCATCTATTGAGATGCATAGGACATGAGTTATGCATGCGAAGCCAACGCTTTCTTCATCGAAGTAGTGGTCGAAATATAGCATGGTATCAGTTCATGTTTACGTCACACAAGGAAGAACCGACTGTTTGGCTAGGGTCCTTGAAACAATATGGAACTTTAGTTGGAGACTGCAAGTGAAGTGGTTCGAAACAGTTCTCTACGGTGTAGACGCAATTATTCTCTGTTATCTCCCAGATCATCAGTTCCTCATTATTCTTCATGTAGTCGTTCTTTTTCCAATACATTTCTGTTTCTTGTAGTCTCGTTACATTGTTTATTTTACTACCTTCGTGTGTGGTTTTATTAAGTGTGATTAGCCCAGTGATCTGCACTGAAAATTCAGTTCAGTTCAAGTTGGACCTATGAAAACTTGTTTATTCATTATATAGATATTATAAATTTTAGGAGTAGTGGGCTAATAGAATAAAAACGAAAACGTTGCGTAACACTGCGTGAAATTTGATAACATAGAATGTAACGTTGTAAAACAAATTGACTTAGAATGACAAGTGGAACGAATGAAATAATACATCGGATAGTTCAAAGTGAGAATAGTAATAGTAACAATTAAAGTAGTAAAGGAAGAGTATACAAATTGAACAAGCAAAACGAAAAAATTAGTAGAGCCAAAATATGATTAGCAAAGAGAGATTAGGACCATGAAAGTTGGAGGCGTTGAATGAACTTTTTCTGTATACAGAGATCTTACTTTTCTGTTTCGATGGCCAAAGCTTCAGCATCACAGATGATTCGGGTGCGTTAAATTCTATGTTATCAAATTTCACACAGTGTCACGTAACGTTTTTATTTTTATTCTATTTGCCTACTAATCATATAATTGCACACCCTTTCCAAGTTATATATAAATTTCTCAATAGGGGAAAATCACGATTCCATGTTTATCTAGATTCGATATTTTCAAGATTATTAATATATTTGCCGAATATTTGTTTACTATCGTATAGATTCATGCTATCCGAATCTATATAATTTATCCGCAAAGTCACGAGATGACGATGATTTCTTACTGTATGAAACTAAACAACTATTGGACCGACAAACACAACGGTACAATGAAGCCATACGAGGTAAGCAGTAGCCTAATCAAAAGTAAAATAGACCTGTTCAAAACAGTTGCATTATGAACAAATACATATAGTTTAAATTTGTATTATTTGATATATCTTACGAAGGGGGATTATCGGTCACTAAAAGAGCTATTGACGATACAGTTCCATATGCTTTCACTTATACATTTATTTTATATTTGTTTGACAAACCAATTGTGATTTGTAAATGTCTAAATTGAATGAATGGACAATAAAACTTCACCAATAATTTTCCATCGACGCATTGGAAACGTCCAGATCATGTTGCATACCCAAAAGTGAAATGAAGTTATTTGACTGAGCTCAAGATTTAAAAAGATATGGGTCAGCGAAGAAAATTCTTTTCTTAACTTCACTTCAAAGCTGTACAGTTATATAGAATTCTAAAATGTCATATAAATGATCATAATGGTCAAATTTTACATATCAGTTTGCAGAGAACAATATGAAATTACATGTCATGAATAATAATGCATAAATTATGAAGTTTAGTTAAGTAGTCTCATGTAACCTAAAAAGATTTGATAATGAATATCGCTCAGGAATGATTACCACTAGGACTGTTAAGGCTTGGGAACAGTATTATTTCTCATAAGAGTAAGAGATTCAGAACATGCATAATGTATATTTTGAAGTCAGAAGTTTTTAAAAAAGGAAGCAAAAGTGAATGACTATATACTAAATTCTTGCACAAGACCAACAACGACTTAAGGCCGCGTCTAGACAATGTTCTATTGGCACAGCCTACGCACTTACCTCCACAAGAGCAAGTAAAATGATAAATTCACATGGATGTTGTCAATAGTAGTATACCGTCTTCGACATTTAGATGAATTAGGGGTTGTTTGGAGAAGCTTAGACGTAGAAGATGCAGCGATGAGTGTTTTTCAAACTGCTCTCTTTAGTCTGTTTCGAAAAATTCCAGCTGTTGTTTCACCTTTGGATTCTTGATTTACAATTAGCTTTTTGTGTACTTCTGTCTCTTGCAGATTATCATTCTCATTTTTCACATCTTTACTGATGAATGCTGGTGGATAGCCACTCCGATTTAGTGTTCCAGAAGGACCTATATTCCTGTTTTCAAGCATCGATAGTCTTGGTGATAATCATTTCCGAGCTGTGTTTATCACTTAATGCTCCTAGATTATGTAAAAGTACTCAACCAAGTTTCGTATTTGAATCATCACTTTTGTTGATATGCAATTTTATATGTTTCCTTACCAAGTGATACTAGCAATTCACCTTTATAGGCATTTTCATGACCTTTTAGAACATTACATAACTGTACAGCTTGGACTGAAGTTGAGACAAGAATATTCTTTACTGACCAATGTCTTTTTAATTTATGTCACATCGGTATTTTTCCTACCTAAAGGGATGTATTAACTGTTGCATCAGTTATCAACATTTTATTTACAGCTTTTAATATTCCTGGTTTTGTGTTGCGTGGGAACTTGGAGTACGGCACGTTTGATCCTAAATGTCCGCCTGTGAAGCCTTTTTTTATATAAAACTTACAACATTGCTTTCTTTGCGACACTAGGGGGAACTGTCTTATGTGATCGATATTTGTAGTAACCACGTATTGTAACCTGGTTGCTATAGTAATAAACTACATTTTAATGACTGGAATTATGAATTACACGAAATGAGAGGGGTAATGATACCTCATCCATCAATGAATGCAAAGTGACCTCGAAGCATAACACGAAGGATTCGAATACTTACTCGTCTGCCCACCGAAGGACACGGCATGCTGAAGAATTTAAGAGGAATTTCAGATCTGAGGAACATAACAGTACCAAAATATACAGATCTTTTCCACTTTTATAAAGTGTACTTCTAGCATATACAACAGAAACTCAGTCACACCTATTGTCTTTAAATTCATAATATTAAGTGTTCGACAGAGTTGTAATAGGCGACGTATGCTCTGAAGATGTTGCGTAGTAAGGCAATAAAAGCTTCCCAAGTAAAGCATTTAGATCAGAGAACACAACTACATCAAATTTATCTACCTGAGCTGCAAATCTTCCCCATTATATCTTCGGGGTAACTGTGTTCTAACTGACTACTAACTTATAAACTATGACTAGTCCGTTGATATTTCATTGGTGAAATTTTATAATTCAACAAAACAAATGTACTTGAATCTTTCCTTTCTTTCTAATTTCAAAAACAATTGGCAGAGGAAATATTAATCAATGAAAGGCAAGAGGAAGAAGCTAATTTAAACGAACCATCAAGAAGGGTGTAAGTATATATTTTGTAATTTTTTAACCTACTGTCTTTTATTTGTTCGTCTAATATTATTCCTTTGAATTTCGGGGTAAAATAGGCCTTCAACGGAACATCTTCATTTCACCCTGTTGTGTTTAGTCGTTCTCAGCTGACTCCACGATTGATCAAATGCTTTCATTTCCTGCTCACACGATCACTTCCATGTCACTCTCGAACTCGTGCCCATCTCGTCCTTTCCCACTCGGGTTCTGCTTCAGGGCCTCGCACACCATGTGGCTCAACATTCCTCTCAATGTTTGTCCTTCGGCCTATTCACTGTGTAGTGAGTTCTTGATCGGTACATTCCCAGAGTTCTTGGTTGCTCATCGTTTCTGGCCGTCTGACCTTCAATATCAGGAGAAGGTCGCTGTTGATAGAAGTCTGAAGTAGCCTGCTGGAGATGCTGTGATGGCGCTCTGGGTCCCGTTTGTTTAATGTCGAAAGGTTTAATCCGCAAAACTTAAAACCATTTTGTTATTAGTACGTTCAATAATCCTTTTTTAAAACTCGTTGTAAACTTTAGAATAAAATATATAAGTGAACAACATTATTTTCGGATCTTGGATTTTGTACACATTTTGATTAATCTCAGTGAAGATTTTGTTACGAGGAGACATCAGTTAAAAAACCAATGAAGACGAGGAATGCGTCGGATAGCTGTTTCGTCCAAGTCTGGGACTCTTCAATAGTGTGTGCACCTGTGACCAACTAGGGGTAGAACCTAGAACCTTTAGGTAATGAAGCAAGCATGTTGGCCAATAAGCCAAGGGATTGTAATCCAATGACTCATTCTCAGTAGCACAGATGCATCTACTCTTTGTCATCTCCAAGACTTATTAAATCCTGATTATTTTTCATGTTGTCATCCTATTTTTACACATTTCCTTTTATTGTGGTATCACCACACTTATCTTCTCTATCTTTTTGTGTGTTTTCATGAAGTGTAGCAAATTGAGCTGCAACATTTTTGTTCAAAGTTCTACTTTAAAAATTTAATTCATTTCAGTTGAACAGCTGAAAATGAGGTTATTTACATAAACTTATCATCAAAAAGTAATTCATGTCATTTTACGTAATCAGAAATGTTTATCGAATAGCCTGTCTAAATTAGGTGTGTAGTGAAGCCGAAATTATTAAAGCAGTGAGGTTTTTCAGATTTGATATATGATGGTTTTGAATATTAGTCTTGTTTGTAATGATCCAAATGTGAAGAAAATGTTGGCAGCAAATGCGAATCTTTATCATACGTTTTAGTTGAGTTGACCGTTGAATGTTACACTGGTTGGTGTAAATATGAAGACATTAAGTTTTACAGGAGTAACAGTAAGATCTTACCAATGTGCGATTATAAGCAGGAAATCTAGACATATTTTTTCTTCTTTTTTTATTGCATTTGACTACTTCACCCCGTGCCTTATGAAACGGTAGCCTGACATAGACATTTTTATATGATTCTTAATAATTTCTATAAAACACGTCACCTGAGGTAATGCAAGTTTGAAACATTCACGCAAAATATAATTACTGAAGTATAATATTAATAAATAGGATGAGTGAATAGTTTTAGGTTGGGTTAGGTAACGATTAGGGTTAAGTTAGCCTAATTATAGAGAAATTAGGGCTGTTTAGGGACAGATTAAGGTTATTTTAGGATTGACTTAAGGACTCGAATGTACTTTTGATCGCATTCGCGTCCGTTGGGTTTCTATTCTTTGATTTTGCTAAAATAAGAGGATAATGAGTAGTTGAAGGCTGTGAAAGTTAGTGTTTGCCTCTAATCACTCCTTCAAGTAATCCTTTCATTACAGGATTTCATCATGAGCAGACATTGGTTAGAGAACCATTGGAAAACCTGGGAGTACTGGACAGCCGTTTCGTCCTAGTTTTGGACTCTTCATCAGTACGCGCCCACCGGGGTTCGAACCCAGGACCTTCTGGTTTTCATTCTTTCATTAGATCAGTTAGAGAAACTAATCAAACTGTGTCATGGTAAATTTTATATTAGATACTAATAAGGGTTATAAGGAAAATGTGCAAGTTAAGGTAAGAAATCTATCGAATTCTTATTGAATGTTACGACAATAGGTTTCTATTTCTTTCCACAGTACTAGAGTTTAAGTTAAGCTTTACTTTCCACCTGGAAATTAAGTTTTTAATTAAAAATAAATTATATTTATTTTTGTTTTTATAAACTATTTTAGTTACACAATCTCAGAATGGTTATCTCAGCATAGTTTAGCAAACGAAAAGGTTCGATTCAATGATCTTTTGAAGTCATTCACTGTTCGCCTACGTCCTAAGTATATACCAGCATTAGGTCATCATGTTGTCTCAGAGGTATTAAAACAAACACTGCCTGTTGCATATGTAAGTATGTCAAAGTCCTCAAAATCTCCAGAAATTTGTTTAATGAATCCACTGGCTATTAATGTTGGACAATACGAAAAGAAGTTAACCAGTGTACTATTCACAATTGAAAAGTAAGTTAAATATGGTGATTTGTCTTAATAAATTGATGTAATTACTTATTTCGCGGTCGAACCTCATATCTGAACGTCAAACATAAAGTAATAAAAACAAATGAAGAATGGCACAAGCTCTGATAGGCTGATTACTGAGGAAATCTCGACGCACATATGATAGGCTGGTAACTACTCTTAGTCTAACCACTATCCAAGCGGCATCTATGGCATAATTAAATCCTCAGGAGCATTTTTTCTAGCTAGTATAGCTCGCTAGGTCATCGCAATATGCTACTAGCCTAACAGCCACATGAAGATAGAAGCTATCAGTCTAGAGGTACTGCAATTAAAATTCGTAGAATGTCATTATAAATCAAAACAAATGACGAAAGATATAAATGTAACTGCTCATTTGCGATCGATTCTGAGCCACGTCACCTAAGTTCTCTAATCATATACTACTTTCATATAAGATTCAGGAAGTCAATTGATTAGTGAACTGGCACGAACTCTAACCTTTTTTCAACCTAATCCTACTCAATCTAACACCTTTGTTTTGGGAAGACAGTGGCTAAACATACGTAACGCATGTGCAGTGTTAAATGTTTAGATTCTTAGCCTTTTAACCTCGTTGTTCACATTTTAAACACATGTTTAGTATGCGAAATGTCACAGATTTATGTAATTATTCTGCTTTTATCTTTAAAATGTTAGAGTTTAAGTATTAATTTGTAACTGAAACTGATTTTGAATCAGACGGTATTTACTCTATATGAGTTAAGTCTTCTGCAGGATGCTTTTCAGTAGAAATCAAATGATCATCATTAAGTAGCATTATATTCTTTTATAACTCTTCTTCACACGATCTCCTCCATGTCACCCTTGGATGTCCCACTCGCCGCTTCCCTTTCGAGTTCCACTCGAGCAATGGCCTGAAGCGCGAAGTCACCCAACGGCCTTCTCAGCCAGTGAGTGTCCAATCCATTTCCACTTTCTCCTGCATATTTGTTGAGCGATTGGTTCTTGTTTTGTTTGTTCCCATAGTTTCTTGTTGGTGATTCTTTCCGGCCATCTGATCTTCAGTATAGAGAGAGCGAAGACAGTTGTTGATAAAGGTCTGCAACAGGCTGTTGGAAATATTCTTTGTGACCCGCCAAGTTGGTGATCCGTATAGAAGAAGTGACTTGACGTTTGTATTGAAAATCCGAATTTTGTTGAAGCCCTATGTTCCACTAGGAACCCAAGAGAACAATAATAATAATATTCTTTTATAATGCCTCTAACTTGTTTTGTTTCTTGACCATACTATATTCCAGCTTAAATCGTGCTGTGTTTAATCCTGAAAGTAGGTTATTTAGATAAACGAAAAGAGATGCATCAGTTAGCCCTTTAACTGACAGTATTCAAGAAGAGTGAAGTAACTTGAAAATTTATGTGTTATTATTATTCATCCGCCGGTTCACATATGGAAGAAGACGTCAGCAACAAATCGCCATCTCGTTCTGTTATCTGCGGTCTCTTTTTATGTGGCCGCAGAATCGCCAATAGGCTTTCATTTCCTTTTCACGTGTTCTTCTCAGTACCACTCCCAGACCCCTGACTCGTCACTTTCCGTTCGGGTCCCCCTCGAAGGTGCAACACATGATGCCACAAGACCATGTTCTGAGCCTGTGCGCAGTCATTTTTCAATTCTTTTCGCATATTTGTTTGGTGATAGATTCTTTTTTGGTTTTTTGCCAGAGTTCCTTGTTGTTTCTTCTTTCCAGTAAGACATCTTATCTACAGTATCGGGCGAAAGTGGCTGTTGATGAAATTCTGCGGCCTGTTGGAAATACTTTTACTGGAACGCATAACAAGTCTCTGAACCATGTAGAAGTACTAACTAACTTAACGCTACTGTCGCAAATCCGGATCTTGTTCCCCTATCTGACTGTTGTTAATCTTCATACCTAATTCACAGTAATGAACGTTTGCCTTTAGGAACATGATTCGTTTGTGCTACTGTGGTGGTGGGATACAGACAACGTGTTCCAACGGAATATTATTCTCACATATTTCCACAGTTCAATATTGCTTTTGAAATAGAATACTATGTATATTTGAACATTCTATTTCATGTTGCTTAATATAAACCAAAATCATACACTCAGTGAATGTTTAAAAGATATCAACTGGTGATATATAAACAGCAATTTGATCAATGAGAAACATATCTTTTCGTGTCTTGCCTTCTGTTGTTACACTACCTGTGGTTAAAACGATGCTTCCTGAATGGCAAGTTCTTTTGTTCATGGAGACCAATGCTTATTGTAGTTGGTTCGTCTCTTCTGTGTGAACTTGAAGTCCCGCCTTAGCTACTTCTTCTGAAAATCTGTTGGCTTTTACTTTTAGATCTCCGAGACTTTGTGACACCAGACATAAATTATCCTAGAAGTCGAGATCTTCTATTTTGCCCTAAATTTAGTTTCATTGATCAAATAAGTTTAACAACTGTACGAGTATCCCACCAAATCAGTCCTTAACTCTTGTTCATAAAAATGTTGCCATCTTAGTGATTCAAAAAATTTTGATTGGACACTATTAACTAGTGTGATGTGTCTAGTCCTTTCTTTGGTGCAGAATGAATTCTACCAGTCAGGTTTGCAATGTGGCCACCATTCTAGGTAGCTCGCCAGTGAGAATTTTTCAGTGAGAAAGAAAGTTAAGGTACAAAGTCGATTGTCACGGAATACAACGAATTTCTCTTAAATTTACATTCGCTTCAGGTTTTTGATGTCCCCATCGAAACTTCAAGAAAATCACTTTATCTTTCTTTTGTAACACTAGAAAATTAATTGAAATAGTTTTTCAATATCTGGACAATGAATCTTTAGCTCAATTACGCAAAGATGTACATCTTGATATATATAAAAAATGGCGCTCAAAACTCTGTTGGTATCAAGATCATTCATGTATAGTGAATACATTTGAAGCAGCTAATTGGCCATTCCCTCATGATGAATTTGTATTACTTACGAAGGAACTTGACTTGGTATGTTTATATTGTTACATGAATGTTGATTTCATCTAATATTGAAATCCTGATCGAAATATTTAAGTAAACTGATTTAAATGTTACTTTTGTGAGAAAAATTTTTTTCTGTGTGAAGTAACACTACTCAAAAAAGTAGTAGAAATTATAGAACAATAATTACCTTCTCTTATATGCTGTTTAAATTGTCAGTTGCTAGTGTAAACTCCTCTCTTTCTCCTCAACTGAAGACGTCAGTTACCAATTTCCTTCCCAGTAATGTAGAGAGTGTTTGACGGGTGGTAAGTATACATGTGTCCCAGAATTATGTGAGGGGCGAAGATATGATCGAGTTACCCTTGCTTTTCCCAGGCCTATGAGGATATGAAATGTGATACTGACAACATGATAATGGTAACCATCTTTCTAATTCTATAAGAAGAGAGATTTAATAAACGAGGTGGGGCACATTTTACGTGTGCCGAGCCACCGTATTCTTCCATTTACTCGTATACTATTAGATTAAAAGCGATCCATGAATTCCTAGACTGTTGATCTGAATCACATATGGAAGTCCAGACTGTTTTACTGGGGTCACTGGGATGGTTGAAAACTATAGGTTATATGTTTCAAAATCGTTTGTGGTAGCGCATTGTAAAGATCCTCATTGATCTTTGTGTAGTTATTCTGTCTTAAGTACACCTTCATCCACTGTCGTTTCATTACGACTCTTTTCAGGGTTCGATCGCCGGCCAACGCAATCCTTTACCTCACTAAGCCAGTAATAAGGCTGGTAAAGAGGGAAGGATGGGCATGAGACTAGCAACCCTACGCAGTAAAAATAAAACCACTGCAACCGAAACTTCAAAGCTCTAGCTTGAAGCCCTATGTTCCACTGGGAACGTAAAGGAATAAATTAAAATCAGTCTTTTGATATTCTTAATAACACTATACCACTATGCTCTTTACCTTTTATTATTTTTTTTATGAAACATAGGGACAGAAATATTTTAATCAAGCAAGAAAGTTGAAAAGTAAACAAAAATGTAATAATTCCTACAAAATACATGTAAAAAACAGTGATTCACCACCACCTAGTCATGCACCGTGTGGCCATGCATATCGATTACATCACTGAAGAGGAATAATAATAGAAATGAATAGATCGCGTCAGTTAACCAACTTACTTTCTTACGCTATCGCAAATTATTCCTATTATGCTCAATGTTAATAACGCAAAATTTATTTTCATTTGATTTTATTTTCCAAATAGCATAAACATCATCTACAGATATATGTGAGCTTATTGGTTAATATTTTTGTTGAGAATATTCCCCTGTTCACTGATTGGTTGAGTTTTGTTTGGTTGAATGTTACTCTTTTATCCTTTGTTTGTTATTATTTTTTTGTAGAAAAAATTATTGCATTATTTCATTCACAGTATAGATTGAATTATTTTTTACAAAAAGTTTTGTTTTTCAAAATAAACATATCAATGTGTATATACTTCGGTGGCCTCCAGCGACTGGAAGTATTGTCACTATTATGACAATTACTTTCATCACATACCCAATTTACTGTCCAGTGTCTTTATGAAGAGTCAGATTCCTAGTATAAAAATTAAATCGCGATATGCGATTTACACAGCTCAAGGTGAAATTTAACCACAGTCCCCTTTGAATCGCCATATGTGATATATATTAATTACCATTAGTGGCGATTGAGAATCCAAGCATAAATGTATGACACGATATATTACTGATTGACTGGGATGAGTGATTGGAGTGACGATGTGCTTATAGAATGTTTTTATTCATGATTAAGCTTATTATGTATGACCTAGTGACTGAATCTTTAAGGTGGATATCTGGATAAAATTGCAGCAGTTCATGTTGTTACAACTCATAAATGCAGGAAGAAAAACAAACGCAAGGTAACTATTATAAAAGAAAATTTATAGGAAGGAGAATAAATGCATGAAGAATAATGGAGATCCAATTGATCACTGAGATCAAAAGGAGTGGATTCATCTGTATCACTCAGAAAGATAAAGAGGTACATCACCAAGAGCCTACAGTCATCAATTATTAGTGTCTGGGGAGGGGACGATAACGAGGCAGTGTATACTTCCGCACCTGAATAAAACACATAAATGTAATAGTAGAATTCGGACACTGCAGGAAATATACAATGCCATACTAGGTAATTTTGTTTCGTATGAAACGCAGTGATACAGTATTAATAACTGGATTATATTTCAAACAATGTGTATTACTACAATCATACCGATTTCTTTCGAAACACCAGCCACTTATTAATATTGTATCATCACCAAGTGTCACATTAAATAAACTTATCTAATATGGAAGTCAAACACACCAGGTCGGAGTTGCTTTTTGCATAATTATATGACATCACACGACAGGCCCTCGAGTGGAACCTGAATGGGAAGCGGCGAGTTGGTCGTCACTGCGAGGATGACATGGAGGAGGTCATGTGAAGAGGAGATGAAAGCATGTGCTCAGACGTGGAGACAGGTGAAAACGTTGGCACAGAACCGAACGCAATGGAGACGTGCGGCTGAAGCCCTATTTTCCTGTAGGAATTAAAGGAAACAATAATAATTATTATATGATGTTAAACAACTATAGGACTTGCAATCTAATGTAATACTATTCTAAATTAAATATGAAAACTAAAATCATGGTAAACTAGACTCATGTGAGAAAATTAAACACTTATTCATTTAGAAAGGATCATATCATGCGTATACATACGTAAAATAATTCAAGCGCTCACTTGAGTTAAAGAAACCTCAGAATCTTAAATGATTTGTGGTAACAGTGGTGTGATTACCATTACAACTAAGTCATATACCTTTTTATGACTATTCTGGCGCCTGCGTCACTTTGCACTGATGACAGTTATCAAGTCACTGAAAGTCACTGAGTATTAAGCTCCTTTTACACCTGTTTCAAGCATCTGTTTCTCACCATGTGAACAACGAGTAATCATTTATAATCATTATGTTTTAGATTACCTGGGAATTATTAGGGAAAGTAGGTCTTAAAAGAGTGCGTCGGTGGCACAGCGGTTAGGATGCTCGCCGGCCATGCACATGGTCCGGGGTTCGATTCCCGGCCGACGCACTCCTTTACTTCGCTAAACCAGTAATAAAGCTGGTGAAGAGGAAAGGTTGGGCATGAGTCTAGCAACCCCATACTGTAAAAATAAACACCACTGCTACAGAAACTTCAAGCCTCTATCTTGAAGACCTATGTTCCACTGGGGACGTGAAGGATTGAAAAAAAAAGAAAGATTGTATAGCCTTCTACTAACCACCTTACATGTGAGGGGTTTTTCCATAGATAACCTTACAACACAAATTTTAGTCAGAACAAAATACTTTAGTATATATATACACATATATTTGTTTTCTTCACAGCATCAGTTAGATCCTTCATGTTGACAATGCTATGTCACTATTCCCAGGAGAAAGATGCCTGGAAAGCTAAATGTAACACTGAGTACCTTCGTACAAACACTAAGGGTGATTGATATGTGAATTTTTGTAGAGCTATATGACTAATTACCCTTGAATTCGAGCACATTAAATATGGATCAGAAAGAAAATAATTGGACACCATCAATCAAATATGACAATTCGTTCAAATGAGTTAAACTGATAGCACCAGACCCCAGCGCATCCATAGTAGCTACTCTAGCTGAACATAAAGTCGGTGTTCACAGAGAAGATATCAATAAACACATATTTCAGTGCGACAACTATGCATTTTCTGACGAGGCCTGGCTTTATATATTCAGTCTGCTGTGGAAACAATGGTGAATACTATTGATACCGTGCAGTGAAAGCTTATAAATTCCAGTGGCTTTAATCTCAAGTTATTTGAATAAATAAACTGATGCCATGGTGTTCCAAATGTGATGAAGATTTAGAGCGTCTGCAATATCAAGTGACTAAAAACACCTTGAAACACTGGTGGCTGATTAAATCAAAAGAAAATGCCCAGTAGGGTGCAGTAGGTTGGGTGTGAGGACAAATACTGGCCGAAGACAATGGTTACTGGTCGCGCTAAGTCGTGAATTTGAGGAAGTTGGAATTCATGGGGCATTGGATTGAGTACCAGTGGCTTGATCGTCTACGAGCTAGCCTTGTAACAAGAAGGTCCTGGGTACGAACCCTGGTGGTGGGTGCATGCTGCTGAAGAGTCCTGAACTAGGACGAAACAGCTGGTTGTCCATTACACTCAGCTGGTTTTACAATGGTTCTCTAACCGAAGTCAGTTCATGATGAAGTCCTGTAACCAATCAATCAAATCCCTACAAACTAATACTTGAAAAAGGTATGATCAATGATTGATCCCCTTCTAACTGTATTGGCTTATAGCGGAAAGGACTCCTCAAGGAGCTGTGATAAGCGGATTGATCTCCTAAAAGGATGGAATTCTAATAAGTTACCACGTGAGACATCCGCAACACCGAGCAGAATACTTTAAGACAATGAATGGAAATGCAGGATAGTTCTGTCAGAGTGATACAGATTGTTGATTGTCCAAGCTCTTGAGATAGGAAAATTAATCTCCTTGTGACAGTTACAAGAGGATCAACATGACAGATACATAATTTAATTAGATGAACAAACTGTCAAGTATTGTAAATTAATATAAATGAGTTATATCTCCACTATGTGAAGTAATCAAGTAGAGATGTAAATTAAACTACCAACTTCGATAACAAGTGTTGCCGACAGAAAAATGTATTGAGAAGAAACTGTAATAAACTTAACCGCAAGAGAAAAAGGAAAATTAAACGTGAAAGGGGATTTAATAAATCTAGGAGGTCCAATTTAAAGGTGTATATAATCATCACGAAATTTGACTATTTAGCTGTATGCATTAAAGTTCCCTACCAATCGCTCAACAAATATGCAGGAGAAAGTGGAGATGGATTGGACACTAGCTGAGGAGGCCGCTGGGTGACATCGCACGTCAGGCCCTCGAGTGGAACCCGAAAGGGAAGCGGCGAGTGGGGGGAGAGCATATCCCAAAATGGTTAGAAAAACAGATGAATTGGGACAAGCCAATAGATGCAGGTGTCAGACTACCAACTTCGTCTATAGCTAAACATTTAATCGAGAGGAACCATAAGATTGATGTTAACTCAACCTTTAAGGTCATCTATAAAAACGGCCAAGGGCGTTTACTGAAATACGCTGAGGCTATAGCCATTCATAAACTTAAGCCCCCCTTGTGTATTCAAAAACGGTTTGTTATTACTCTTAACCTACCTTGGTAATCCTTATTTGATTGATTTACCAAACGTTTGTGTTAATTATTCTTAATTCTTAGTTTAATTTAACTTTTCCATATATATTGACTTAACAAGTAAATGTGTGATCAGATTGTTCGAAATGTATAGCGCAAATACATCACATTTTTCAGATAATCTCCGTCTTTTAATAGAATGATCTAGATTTTAAATACGTAGTGTGTATTCTTTTGATGTAATGTGCCTTCACTTAGAACAAGTGATATTTTGTGTGATTATATTTCCACACTTAACTTCTTCATCCTGTTCCCTATATCTTATTTAAGAGATTTATTGCATCTATGTACTAGGAATATTAGGTTTACATTTGAAGGCGATTGTTTCCGTCAGGTTGATGGTGTTGCTATGCGAAGTCCGTCAGGGCCTCTTTTCACAGATATCTAAATGTCGTACATTGAGAGTTTATCGGAGGATTAAATCGAAAATGTGCCACTTTATAGAAGATATGTTGACGATACTGTAATCATAAGTGATAAGTCTTATTCTGCCACCTCAATTTTAAATCAAATGAATGAAGTTCAGAATTGCATATCACTTGCGTACTTTAGAAGAGGATGATAATTGTTTATCTTTCTCAGATATATTGCCTAGTCGACGGCTTGATGGATCAATAAAAAGATCTATTTATAGAAAACCTACCTGGACAGGACAGTATCTTAATTATCACAGCTTCTACCTTTCTCGGTACAAAAGAGCCTTAGTAAGGTTCCTCTTCAGTAGAATCCAAAGAATATGCACTGAAGACACTCTTGATGAGGAAGGAAGAAAGTTGACACAAACTCTGGTTGATAATAATTATTCAGATAAATTCATTAGGAGATATAAAGTAGTCAGGAGACCAAGATCTACTCTCCAACTTGCCGCTAAGAAAGATGTGTATATCAAGATACCCTACACGGGTGATCTTAGCAGTTTGACAACTAGACAAAGATTGGATGCTGCGGTTAAAAGGGCTTTTTATACAACTAAGATCATAATAATTGAGAATGTGAAGCCGATATATCCATCTAAGCCCTCTGAACATGCGAAAAATGATGTCACATCCCATTGTATTTACCAACGTAAATGTACGCGTGGACAAACATACGGAGAGAGGACTCACCCATCTCTGCAAGCAAAGGCTGGCTACGAAGCATATTCCTAAATGGCTTCAGAAGCAAACAGAATACGCAGAACCAATTAATGGTGAGAAAAGTAGAGCTCCTCTTTTGCAAAACATGCTATAGAGACAGGACATAAAACTGACAATTACGTGGCTTTTAAACCTATCTTTAGAACGTGTTTGGGGCGTATCTTAAAGTTTGTGGAGGTCCAAGTGTAACAGCAAAAGGCAAGACACGGGAGCCAAGTTATATTTTACATTAATCAAATAGCGGTTTATATATATATATATATATATATATATATATATAGTTTATATTCTCTAATCAATCATTGAGCTTGTGATTCTGGTTTACATCAAACGACATGAAATAGAATGTCCAAATATACATGGTATTGTTTTGTTAATGCAATATATAACCGTGGGAAATGTATTCTGACTCTAACATCAAACAGAATGTTCAAATAGAGATGTATTCTGTCGCTAATGCCGAATTGAGCTGTGGAAATATTTGAGAATCATATTGCGTTAGCACACATTGTCAATATCACACCAACACACTAGCAATTAGGAAGTCTAAACTAACTTTATGTGTTCAAACACAATTCGTCATCACACTAAACCACCTTCCTTCGCAAACTTTGTTTTGATACCTTGGCAGATGTAGTATTAACTCTCATTTGGTTTAGTGATGTTCATTGTTATTTTAACCTTCAAAATGTCCTTTTAACTTGACTTAAGCATATTTTCTCACCTCTTACCTGTATTAATTCCATATATATTCCTATGACATCTCCATGTGTGATCAGATTATTCCAAATGTGTTGCGCGAAAACATTACACGATTCATACAAGTTACGTCTTCTTATTGCTTTGTCTAAACACATAGTAGTTTAGTGTGAATAAATACTTCTCTGACAGATTTCAAAATTTTGTAGCCTAAAGACTTGAGTTGTTGAAATCTTTTGCTATGTTCTACACTGATTTACTTCAATATCCGTTACTATTGTGGTGGTGTGATACAGACAATGTGTGCGTCGGTGGCACAGTGGTTAGGACTCTCGCCGACCATGCACATGGTCCGGGGTTCGATCCCCTGCCGACGCACACCCGATATCTACTATGTTCGGCCTGCGAAATTTGGGCTACCGATATCCGTGCTGAAAATTCCATACTTGTACTGAAAATACGGTGTGGCATCAAGCTGTAATAAAAATAAAAAAATAAAAAATGAGTGATATCCAACTACTTACATCAATCAGTAGTGCATAGTATTTTAGTAATACATTTTAATAAGTGCTTGTAAAGTATTTACTGATTACAGTTAAGCTTTCATGAGTCTTAGCTTATTACTTTATAGGAACCTAGGATGACAATAAAAGTTATAAATTTTGGAGAGTTGAATATACAAACAAAAAATGATTTCCTCAACATTTTTACTTAATTTCAAAGACCACTAAACTAGCCTTGATTTTTGTATTTAGGGTGACTAATGGAAACAAAACTTAATAACTGTAGATATTTTAGCGAAAAATCAATTTCAAATGTTCCTAATAGAGCAAAATACCTTATCTGAGAATTTCCCTATGAAGGATCTACTTACGATATCGATACTTCGTTGAATATATTTCAACTGACTTAGTAATTACTACCCTCTATTTATGACCTTTGTTTTGTCTTTCTAACATTTTAATATCTTCCTTTGAGTTGATCCTTATAATTTATCTTTGCTTTTTACTGATGTTCCACTTTGCTGTTGTGTAGTGATGGACTGTTGAAAAAATATTTTCTCCTGTTTTAATTTTTTGTAGACAGAGTTCTAATCCCATTTTATTGGGAATATTCTAATTGATTTTCTGGTAGTTCACTGTTTTGTAAGGTTAACATTTTTGTTGTACAGTGTGCATTTCGTAAGGTGTCTAACTGGTTGCCAGAAGGCATTGTTTAGGTTACTGTGTATTCGATTATGGAGAAACTTTATTTGGTAAAGTCTCACACTGTTATGCAGTACTCATAATTGTATGAACTGTTATTGTACACGTGAATCACAGATTCTGTTAGGTCAAATCATGTTTTGGATGATGTTGGAATATGAGTTTTAACTGTGTTCTACTCACAGTAGTTTGGTAAGCTACGTAGAAGAAAGGATTGATTGATTTCCTGTATTTAGACAGAAATATTTAAGTTTCCGTCATTTCACCGGCTGCAATATGTCTGAATTAATCTTAATTCCCTGTTGTTTGATTTATATTAGACGATAATGTTCGGTAGGATTTTACTACGGTCATTTTGACGATATCCGAAGGTTGAAATGCTGTTACTCAGTCGATGGTGACTATAGGTCAAATCTCAAGTGAGCGCTTCCTCCTATTTTGAAACTCACCGGCTGGATGTACCTGCATCTTCAAGGAGAGGTAGTGTTTTTGATCCTAGTCGGATCAAGAACCCATCATCTCGAACGCCGAAGCGTTACGACAGCCACGCCTTGTACTACGGATATAAGTTGTTATTTTGGATTTCCACTTAATTGATTTATATTGCACCGAAGTGTTCGCTTTCTCTTGAAACGATGTTTGCTGGGCTCTAATCTCATTGGAAGCACTATGATGTAATAGGTACATAGGTACATCTAGCTGAAGAGTTCCAAAACCGGATGAATAGCGCATCATGGATTCCACTTCTAGCTAACACCTACCAATTAAATACCTTAATGCGATATGACAAATTATGTTATTGTAAAGTCAAAAGGAAGATGCAATTAAGTTATCATGCAACTGATTGAAAAAACAACTCAATGAATCCTTTGGATGTTACATATTTACTCTGAATCTTGTTATTATTAACGTTTTCATCTAATTTGTTAAATTTTAAATAAGAAATAAAAAACGATAGTTTCAAGTAACTAAATTTTAAAATTGCTCATCAGTTCAAAATCTATTGTTTTCCAGATCATATTACTCGTGATGATGTTAAACACAGATGAAAAGCTCTATATCAAAATATTGCTAATTTCATTCTCGTCACCCTTTCAAAAAATCAATAAATTAATGAAAAGTCAGACAAACACCAGTAATTTAGTAAAACGTTTCCTACAAATCTACTCACAGTATAACAATAATGCTGATATTGCTGAAAATGAATCGACAACTGCGAAAAGTATTCAACTCATGGAGCAACAGCAGTACGATGACAACCAACCAACAAATATTTCTTTACAGATGAATTCATTCACGGTAAATGATCCTGAATCTGATCATCCTCATCATGAAGACCATAGTTTGGAATGTTTATGCCTCAATTGTAGATACATGCGAAATAAAAATTCACGTGCAAAGTCCGCGTGTACTATACGTTCCCAAGATCCTATTTTGTATAATCTATTTGGACCAAAATCGAAATCTTCACCATATCCAATACCCTATGATACATTATCCGATTCAGGTATAACTAGACTAAAACGCAATATTCCTATGGATAATGTTTGGGCATGGGATACACGATATATTGGCTACCAGCGTCCTGAATCTCCATGGTTGCCTAGTGGTAAACTGTCTCATTTATATTTGAAAAAAGCAAAATATTATGATTTACAGTATGCACCAGATGGTATACAGAAATCTCCATTGCGTAAAGATATTATGAAAATGTTGAAATCTCCACGTTATACTGTCATAGATAAATATACTAAACTTGTTGATAATAACTGGCTATTTGAACCAAGAGAACTCATAAATGAATGTTTTCCAGATGATATATGTATGCCTCACTGCTTTCTAACAGATTGTAAAAAGTTAACGGAGACACCGTTAAGTAAAACAACTCCATCTTCATCGAATAAGCTGTCACCTTCATTTGTTTCCCTATCGCCTAGACTAAAAGTCACTGCTGATGTATTATCAGACAATGAAAAAAATCTAACAGAATCAAGTACACAGATTGAACCGACATTTTCTACATCAACATCAGGTGATCTGTCAACAATTAAAAGAAGAGCAAAATTTATTCTCCCGGTATTGAATCCGCCACCAATATTATCAAAAGAAAAATCCGTTCATTTAATGCATAGACAATGCTGTCAGCGTGTTATTGCCTTTAATGATGCTGATGGAATATTTTATCCAGGTAAGGTTATACAGTGTTGATTTGAAAGTTTTATTAAATGCATTTTCATATAGTTAATATAAAAAGTGGAAATGATTACTATCATAATATTATTATTTTTGCCTTGAGTTCCAAGTGGAACATATTTTTGCAGCAGCACACCGCTATTTTATCCTCTTCTGCTCAGTCCTCTTCAGATACCTTGACGATTGCTCATAAGCTCTTTTTTGTCATATGATTTCTTCCGTGTCACCCTTGGAAGCCCTTTCAGGTTCCACTCAAGTGCCTTCTAGGTGCAAGATGTTACTCAACGGGCTTCTTCGCCTATGTATAATCCACCTCCATGCCCGTCTGCATATTTGATGGGTGAGGCGCTCTTGGTTGGTTCATTGTCACGGTTCTTTGCTGATTATTCTTTCTAGTCATCTAATCTTCAATATCAAGAGAAGGCAAATGTTTATAAAAGTGTTGGAAATGCTTTTATTGGTGCCTGAATTACATAGAAGTACCGATTTGACATTAGTATTGAGGATGCGGATCTTGCTCCTTATACTGAGTGCGGTATATCTCCACACTGATGTTAGACTCACGAAGGTCCGTCTTGTTTTCCTATCCTCTATTTTACTTCCTCAGTCGAAAGCGGTTTCAGAACTTATTTTGACATTTACCAATGTTCCATATCTAAACTTTATTGTCTTACCTAGTAAACCTCACGTAAGTAATTACTGAATTGACTGAATTTAACCGGTTTTAGCCTACCTAGAATAATTAATGAGAAAGGGATAATCCATAACACTGTGACGTTTTGATACTCGGCCGATGATGATGATGTTTACCCTAGTCCTGTATAAAGTCATTATTGTTCTGAGAGACCTAATAGTTAATATGATTTGAAGCAAAAACTAAAAAATTTCAATCATCCCACTTTAAGCTTTTTAGAAATTTTGAATCATTTCAATGTAGATTTATCTACAGCCTGATGTCACCTAGACCCGTCAGGCTTTTTTACCCAGCTCCGTAGCCTAAAGGTCCTGATTTCAATCCCTGAATTGACTAGAAGTGTATAACGTTGAAGATTTACAAGCCAGAGCAAAACAGCTGTCTACTGTTTCTTAGTTTTCAACTATCCTTCAACTGACACGGAATGGAGTTGAAATCTACACTGTAATTGGAGTTTCACTCAGCTATACACGACACATCAACTGTTCATTTCTAACCATTTGTTAAATAAGGAAAATTTCGTTACAATGGGCTTCTGTTAATCATTTTTAAATACCTAAAAATGAAGAAAAAATCATTTAGAGAACTGGTTTATTTCAATATTTTGAAGTAATACAGTCTGTAGTGATGAATACTTATTTCTCAAAAAGGCTTTTACCATTGTTGACTATTTTTCTTTCAGTTGAGATATTATTATAAATTAGATCCTGTGAATTAAATTACATAACTGAATACACCCCGGCTGATCAGTAAATTCAAAACTAGTGGCCTATACAATACAAATCGAGGTTTGAAAGTAATGAATTACATCTGTAGATGAGTTGGGTGATTTTGGCGTTGTTGTATCCTCTTAGCTAGATAGCTCCATAGACATCTTGTATAGATTAAATAATTCACATGAACAAAAGGATAAATATCAAGGCAACAAGAGGATCATTATCAATGATTTTTATTTTTTCGTCGTTCCCTTGGGTTCCCAGTGGAACATAGGGCTTCAACTACACGTCTCCACTTGCTTCTGTCTTCTGCTGTACTTTTCACCTGCATCCATGTTATTCCATACTGTTTCAGCTGCTCTTCACACGATCTCTATGTCACCCTTCGATGTCCCACTCGCCGCTTCCCTTTCGGGTTCCACTCGAGCACTGGCCTGACGCGCGATGTCACCCAACGGCCTCCTCAGCGAGTGTCCAATCCATCTCCACTTTCTCCTGCATATTTGTTGGGCGATTGGTTCTTGTTTTGTTTCTTCCCATAGTTTCTTGTTGGAGATTCTTTCCGGCCGGCCATCTGATCTTCAGTATAGAACGAAGACAGCTGTTGATAAAGGTGTGCAACAGGCTGTTGGAAATATTCTTTGTGACCCGCTGGCCAAGTTTCTGATCCGTATAGCAAAACTGACTGACTTGACGTTTGAATTGAAAATCCGAATTTGGTGTTGATGCTGAGTGACGAAGATTTCCAGATTGGTTTCAGGTTGATGAATGTGTTTCTCGCCTTCCCGATTCTCGATTTGACATCCTCGTCCGTTCCTCATTTAGTTGAAACAATGCTCCCTCCCTAGATAAGTGAATGAAGTAACCTCTTTCAAATCCCTCCCGTTGATGGTGATTGGCACTGGATATTGCTGTTGTTGTTGTTGTTGGTTGGTTGGTTATTTTCATAACCTCCGTCTTGTCTATGTTCACCTGGAGTCCTGTCTTTGCTGTTTCTTTGACCAGTTTGTCGGTTTTCGCTTGTAAGTCTTCGATTTTGTGTGACATCAGACATAAATCATCCACGCGCGAAATCCAGGTCTTCTAGGTTCTTCACGTGGGTCCAGGATATCCCTGTCTTCTCGTTTCCCACTGTCTGACGCATAATCCAGTCCACCACAATTAGGAATATCATTGGTGATAATAAGCACCCTTGTCTGACTCCTGTGTTTACTCCAAACGCTTCGCTGAGTTTTCCGTTGTGGATCACTTGACATGTGCCGTTGTCGTACAGTTGTTGAATAAGGTTGATGAATATTTGGGGTACGCCGTAGTACTCGAGTAGTTTCCAAATTACTTCGCGGTTAACGCTGTCGAAGGCCTTCTCAAAGTCTATAAAGTTGAGGTAGAGGTTTGATTGCCATTCCATGCTTTGTTCGATGATGATGCATAGAGTTGCAATTTGGTCAGAACATGATTTGCCTTTCCTGAATCCAGCTTGTTCTGGTCGGAGTTCTGTATACATTATCCATAAAAGTGGACAAAATCATAAGGACGTCTACAGGAACAATTGATTACAGTAAAGTTCACTAGGAGTTTTATCACAGCTCACTTCATTACGAAATCGGAGCTGAATATGTTGTCTAGAAAGCCAAAGGAAGCTTCCGTATTAAACAATCCAGCTTAGAGAATAAACCGACAGAAAAAACAGATAAAAATCAACCTTATAATTACTTGTTAAATAGCTTATTCAATGTAATCCTCTTATAGATTAAAATGAATCAGCTGACAAAAAGAATGATTCAATTTTCCAACCAATAAACTCTGAACTTAGTGGGATAATGGAACAAAACCGTTTGTGTTTTCACCACCAGGATTCAGACTACTCATTCAGTCAGACACTCCTTTTATTCTAAGTCACTATAAATAATTCAAATTAATTCAAAATTTTATTTCATTCTTTGTTACAAGAAAAATTCTTGATATTTATACTCCTGTAAAAATTTATTTTGAACAGGTTTGGTGCAGAGATATCTATCTTCAAAATTATGCGTTATACGTTTTCGTAAAAATGGAGTATTAGCTGAAGTACCAACTGCATTAACTCTTCCTGTTGTTGATATGTCACACAATCAAGCTCTTATTGTAAGTTTTTTCAATTAATTCCGGTATAAAGAAATATTTTAAATGCTCCAAGAAAGGGATGACCTATGGTTACAACTGAAAATTTCGATGGTTGTTGGTTTGCATATTTAAGTAGATTCAGCAATAAAATGTACTTGAGATTAATTTTCTAATCAGCAGACAGAATGTATTTACTTTACAACCATCATCGTTTTCAAAGACGATTCTGTCACCAACCAAAATAAGTTAGAAATACGTTGGAAACCAGAGAATAATGGACAGCTGTTTTGTCTTAGTGTAGAACACTTCAGTAGTGCATGACTATGATTGTGATCAAGAATCGAAACTAGAAGTTGTAATTAATGGGATCCAACAAATCTGGGCATAAGGATAGATACTTACGGATGGCGTTGAATGGCAGTGGTGGTCTATTCGAAGTTGACAGAAGGTAGAATTCACGGTCACTAAATTGCAGCTCAGCGTTTAAGTGGTTAAAAGGCTGAAGTCCCTGGGTTAAGTTTTAGTTAGGTTTGTCAGCGTGCACTATAAAAGATTAATAAATTAAGAAAAAGTAGGCGTTTAGTGTTATGTTTTTCAACGGTTCTGCAATTTATATCATTTAGTGACCAAATCTACGTGTAAAACAATCAAATGCACATAATCCATTGCATATATAATGTCTTTTTATCTAATTGTAAGCCATATGTTTATGGGACTTCGACTCTCAGTTTTTCTCGATATGTATGAGGTCGTTAATTCTTATCGTTGGAAATTCAACTGACGTGTTCTAAAAATCCTGGCTCCCAATTTTAGAATTATAAACTGTACACCTTCCTTAACATTAAGCATGATGATTTATTAAGATTCAATAGGAAATTAATTTCTCACATGTTTTTAGATGCTTTCATCAAATGAAGCTTGTTTTGTCACCAGTTTTATTTACTTCAAAGCTATACACCAGATTGAAAGTAAACTGTCCACCTTCGAAACAACTAATCACTTATCTGTGGTAATATGTGTGATTTTAGCACTTTCAGTAATTTCTTTCAATTCATGATTCGAGCGCTACCACCAGACAACATCATCGTAGAGCATTTATCCTCTCATCCAACCTCGTTGACCCCACTGTTCACGACTTCTCACCAGAACTCCATCTAAATTCATCCTGTAGGCAGTCAATTTTTGTCTTAGCTGGTGACCTTAACAGAGATTGTTTTATCTACTTGAATTCATATTAATATCGTTTTAAGTAACAAAAAAATGTATTAACACTATATATCGGTCCAGCCACTTAAAAAGAAAAACAAAAGTTGACTTGAACAAAATATATCTGTGGCTTCTTATGTGCATTTAAGTAGTCATGCTGTATATAGTTTCTGTTTAAATAAAAGCATTAGATAGCATAATCGATTTTTCTTACGAAAACTGGTGCACATTTTAGCTTTCCAGTTATTAGCCACAGATCCTGAAAGAAGACATTATTCAGTTGGCCGGTTGGTGGGTTTCTAGTTCCATTTCGTAAATTCAATAATCTCAATTATTATCAAACTACTCATATTACTCGTAAATATTTTCTTACTTCTATTCAGAAAGTTGCGCTTTCCTGTTTGACCAAAAATATTTACAAATCTTTTTGAAGTCTAAATATTTAAAATCTCAGCTTTTCATCTCAGGCCATGAATTCATATCAGTTAGACAATCACTGAAAACGAGGGAGTACTGAACAGCTGTTTCATCCTAGTTGTGGACTCATCAATAGTACGCACCCACTGAGCTTCAAACCCAGGACATTAGGTTACAAGGCAAGCTCGTAGACTATTCAGTCACTGGAACCCGATCCTACGGTTCATGAATTCCAACTTCTATCAATTCATAGCTTTAGCAGGACTACCAAACAATGTCATCGGTAGAAACTCCATCCTCACTCCCAACTAGATAGACCTCATAGGTTACAACTTCTCACCGGAACTCAAAGAAACTTCGTCCTGTCGCAAGTCACTAGTGAGCGTCAGATTTATTTTCAATGTTTGATTTGTTTGAAACCCAGTGAGTGAGTACTGCTGATAAGTCCAAAACTGGGATAAAACAGCTGTTCAGTACTCCCTGGCTTTTAATGGTTCTCCAACAGATATCAATCCGTAGTCTAACTAGAAAAACAAATCAAATCTTTATAAATTACCTTTTCAGTTTAACTTATCGTTTTTGAAATTCGATCTTGACAATCTGTTTGCTGTATGGAGAAGGAAAACAACTTTTCACTCTTGGTCAGTGACCGTTATTCATTAGGGTATTTGACCAATAATCCTTGAAAAAAGATAGCATTAGGTGTTACATACAACTCGTATCAACTAAATTTGCATAATGAAGGTAAATTGTGGTTTAATAATACTTTGATAAAGCTATTAGCACTAAATAGAGAAGTGTCAGTAAAAATAATATCGTTTTGTTTTTCATTCATTGGGAAATACATAGAAGCTTTTGTTATAATGAATATCATATACCCAATACGCAAATTTTTTTCAAACTGTTAAAAGTGAACGTGGTTTGGACATATATAAATTTGCATAAAGTGTAAATGTTGTTGACGCAGACTTCCAAAAGGACTCATCGGCAGTTCTTGATCCCTTAATGCTTTCATGCTATACATGAGGTTTTCAGTATAAAATAATTTTGTCAGAACACTTACTTAATTATTCTTCTTATTGTGTGCCATTTTATCCTATTAACTACGTTTATTTTTGTTCATTAGGATGGGGATACAGTTCTGGTTCGTGTGAAAAATATGAATTCCCTATGTGAATGTTGGGTACCGGGTAGAGTACAAGGTGGTTTTCTTGGATATCCTGATCCACGTTATCCATTGCGTCATAGATATGAAGTTGTTTTATTTAGTGGAGCAAAGGTTAGTACAGTTACTGAGATATACTCGAAACGTTATCACTTCACTGAAGATAGTTTTTTGATATAAAAAACAATGTCAAGGGTATAAATTGCTTATTGTATTGGTATTTATTTCTAGTGGAGCATATTAATGTTGAAAAAGAGTGATAGGAAGAAGTACTTATAGAAACCTCACAGAACGTATTAGATATAATCAATAAATTTCTGTTTTTGACGCTTTCGATTTAGTCGTTGGACGCCTACCAGAATTTTTAAACACTGAACTCTTATTGGTTAAGAATTTTTTAAATATCAGTAAACTTGGTGTTGATCAAAGTAACCTACACTCTGTTCTGTTCTGTTTTCGACATAGAACTTTGCACATATGTGCGGCAGTTCAAGTCGCCACACTCCATGTAGCACACAAAGCAAGAGAAGAAAGTAGAAGAAATGCATATTAGAGACAGTAAACAGAGGTGTGAGACAAAGGAATAGTAATAACGGAGAACAAAACAGTTTAATTGGAAATCATAAGTCACAAGGAGTGGATGCGTCTGCACCAGCCATTGAGGACGATTTTGAGCCATGTCACCAATTGTTTCCAACCATTGGTTTTTACCGTCCCGAGGACCCCAAACAGGAAGCCAGTCTACACCTTCCTACGTGGCTTAGACTAACTGTTGTAGATTTCATTGACTGGTACCATGTTTTCGTTTGACCACCGCTAGCTCTCTTCCAGCCTGACCCTACGTCAGCTAACATTGCTCGTCGAGGAAGGCGATGACTAGGCATACATAACCCATGTCCTAACCATCTCAGTCGATGTAATTTAACAGTCTCGTCCATTGATTTCCCCACCTTACCTAGCACTCGACGCCTAACCTCAATATTGCTCACCTTATTATACCACTTCACGCGGGAGATAGAACGCAGACACCTATGATCGAAGACAGCTAATCTTTTCATGTCTTCCTCTCTCAATGGCCAGGTCTCACAGCCTTAAAGGAGGACAGAGAGGACTGCTGAGCAGTACACACGCCCTTTGGTTGATAGTCGGATATCATGTCTACGCCAGAGACGGCGTAAACTGGCATATGCGAAACTAGCCCTCTGTATTCGTGCTGAGATTTCGTCAGAGATCAACCCGTTGGCAATGGCTAATGCAACTTCCTGAATAAGTGAAGCGGTCAACGTGCTCTACCACTTCACTTCCTATTTCTAATCTAGGAGTCGGTGCAGTGCAATCCTGCAACATCATCTTGCATTTCACAGGGGCGAATCGCATGCCAAACATACGAAGATTGTTGCTCAAGGTGTTCAGAAGACTCTGCATTTTGTCAGCGTCCTCGCCTAGAAGGACTATATCGTTTGCATATTCTAAGTCAACGAGATTATTCCCTGGTAGCAAGTCAATCCCTGAGTCTCTGAAGTGGGTTAGGGTTAAGACCATTAGTACGTCTATGATGAAGTTGAATAGAAATGGGCATCCTTAACGGATGCCAATAGTCGTCACCACTTCAGATGACAACTCGCCATGAGCCGTCGCCTGGCTGCATGAGTACGAGAACCTTGACTCTATATAATATATACAGTGATAATCTCAACTGTGTTGGCCGTAGTTTAGACAGTGAAAGCTGTCTGTCAATAGTTGATTTTCTCATCTTTTTCATTGTGGTAGTTAACGCTGTGATTAGCTATTGGCACGTTAGCTTCGTTCTACATTTAATTTGTCAAGTCGCATTTATCGAGCATGTCAAAATCGTAGGCTTTTTCTATTGGAAAATTTCGACCGTTATATTATAGACAAAATTGGTACTATGATGCAATAGTTTGTGTGTTGATCGACCGCACTGAGCATAACAGTCATGATATAAATCACATCCAAAAATGTGGTCAATAAAATTCAAAAATACTAATTGACATCCATTGGGTCAATGGATTTACTTACATGGAAGAAAACAGTAGTCAGATGGGCAAGAGTCTTCGTGAAATATGTGATACCGGAATAGAGTTAAAGTTAATTTATCATTTTCTTGATATATTTTTATGTATGACAGTTGGAAACAGATGAGAGCAGTAGTTATGTTATACTGCAAACTGACAGAAATCAAAGTCGTTTCATTCCAACCCAGTAGTACACCTGGCATTTTGGGCGTCCTGTCCAAGGACAAGACAGTTTGCAGCTCTTCGCTTTTCAGTGATCCTCTGATTAATTTCCGCTCCTGACTAATTAACCCTGAACTGCGTCATTTGGTTCCATTTTTCAAAACAAAACCATATAAACTAAATTCCAAGGTAGACTGGATTTACATAAGCTTAGTTATTCAGCTTCATAAATGGTAACATATTTCACCTGCGAGTTCTTTAAAGCCTTTGGTTTTAGCCTAGGCTCAACCTGTACACAGTTTAACTTTGGTTATATTAAAAAAGCTACAACGCCTAAGCAAAATAATGTTGAAATATGTGTAAGCATATAAACACCAGTATTGCAAACTTTAGTTGATCAGTAAGACGAAGGAGCTATTCGCTGAAATTCCAGAGAAAGAAATTTAACTTTTATCTTTAGATAAATGTAAACACGTAAACTGTCAGCCCAAATTCATCACTGGCAAATCACATCGATTCATTTTGAGACTCATAATATGCTTGTCACAATATAACATATGAGTGGTTCGAAAATCAGCATCTAAATAATTAAACGCTATGATTATTCCCTTAAGGTTCCAAGTACAGCAAAGGGCTTTGCCAGTATATAGCCATTTCACCCTGTTCTCTGTATTCTTTTTAAATTAGCTGTAGGATCTCTCATAAAATTACATTTTCTCCTTACATGACCACCTTTATGTCACCATAAAAACACAGGTTCAGTTCGTCGTTTTTAATTCCAGTTCTATTCAAGGGTCTAGCACATGATGTCACTCAGCGGTTTCTCCAGCGTTCATCCGATCCATCTTTATGGCCTTCCACACAATTGGTGGGCATTAGGTCCTTAGATGGCTGGTTGCCAGAGTTCCTCGTTGCTTATAATTTTTAACTAGCCATATAATCTTCAGTATCTATACGGCGAAGGCGCCTGTTGATGAAAGTTTGAAGGCTGTTAGAATTGTTTTACGTGATGCATGCACGAAGTCTCTGAACCATATACAAACACAGGATTGATATTAGTGTTGAAAATGAGGATCTTGTTCTTTATGCTGAATGCAGTAGGCTTCCATGTGAATTTCAGAGGAATGAAGGTTTGTTTTACCTTTCCAATCCTGGCTAGCTTCGACGTCCTCATCTGTTCCTCCCATAATTAGAATGATGCTGCCTAGATAGGTGAAAGAGATGACTTGCTTCCGATTACTGTCGTTGATGGAGATTGGTGCTTGTTGATATGGGTAAGTTATCTTCATCATCTCTGTCTTGCCTAGGTTCACTTGAGCCCTTGTCTTTGCTTCTGGTTACGAGACAGTATGCACTACTGACTTAAATGAGTGGCTAGAATCTACACACTAACCTCCGAGCTGAGTCAATCCAAGTACATCACTGATGCGTTCAACTCTAAAAGTGGTAAACAATCGTCTGGTATTTAGATTACTTGCCTGCTAAACACAGCTGGTTAACTAAATTGCAGTTTAAACACTGAATAAAGTAATTCAGTTTAAAAATAGACCTCAATTGTTTAATTTCGTAAATGGTGTTTTTGATACGCATATTACACATGCATTTTGGAAAATCATATATATTTTTTCACAACACATTTATAGAGGGTTACCGATTGAAACCAGAAATTAGGTGAAATTTAATTGGGAAAATAAATGTTTGAATTTTTAGTCTTTTTTAAATGTAACCTAAATAATGTTTACTTCTCATGCCACCAATAACTGACTCTATTAATTTAAGTCACTTTTGGTTTTACCACTTCGGCATTTGAAGCAATGTGTGCTACTTTTGCGTTTCAGTGGAAACACTATCACTCACTAAGGAATTGGTGATGCATCCAGATGATGAGTCCTAAATGCGATTAAAGCACATCTGGATTCCATTGATAATCACCATCCACCAAATCGCATAACTAATTCCATGAATTCATGATTTTCACGTAATTGCTTACCTTATTTATCTTCCTTTGCAGCATGTGTTTAGACGCCGTGATATATTGAAGATAAATCCTGATTTCCATGCAAGTATTATCAAATATATTACATTTAAACAAAGGTATGTTTAATTCATTGATACAGATAAATTAAAATCGTGACAGTTTTCCGTTTATAAGTATGGAAAAGTCAGGACAATATAAGTGATGTATTTCTTAAATAAATATTAGCTTTACCAACCAAGAAATATTTCCATACTCCAAATGTAAGAATAAATACAGTCATTCTGGATAACTGCAATCTATGAAAAGTTCGCCCCTCAGGATTTTATTTGTGCTACAAACCAAGGCAGCTTAGAGTGGTGTTCTACATTGTGATTATTCTGCATTGTTTATTACTTCTCTGTTTTTCTAAAATTTCATTGGTCTTCTCGGAGGAACTGAATTGTTTCCTAATGAGCCAATACACTTGGCTTTTAGGTTACTTTTACATTTCCCGTTGATTATTTATGTTGGACGGAGATGCTGCGTCTCTGATTATCTATCTGCTGTAACAATGTCTAAGGATTAATATGAAATTATCTTGGCTGGTATTGACTAGCGGTGGAAGTTAGGATGCGCATTTCGTCTTATTTGGGAGAAGTCGGCTGATAATGTGTGGGCAGACATGGAGCAAGGTGAAGACTCTAGCAGAGAACAGAACGCAATGGAGACGCACGGCTGAAGCCCTATGTTCCTGTAGAAATTAAAGGATACAATAATAATAATAATAACTGCCACTCAAAAACAGCTGCACTGTTTACAAGAGAAGAAGGGATTGTGAGATATCTTTAATAATAACCTTAAAAATAACAACGGCCAAATTCATATATGTAAAAGCTGGACATCTTGATACTATGTAATTCCACATTAGTTTGTTGATTGGATATATCGCACAGTGGAATAGGATTACTTACTGAATAACGTTCATCAGTTGATATGGTCATGGACAATAAATTCTATGCTCAAAGAGTCATCCAATAAATGGTACTGTCTCACTAGATGACATACCTAATAAACAAATTAATATGCTTAGATCAAAAGCTACCAGTGATCTTAGTAAGTCTCCGTCGCCTACTATGATTCACTGTACTGTATCGCAGGTTAGCTATATTTTATGAAGAAATTAAATCAAAAAAGGATTTCAAGTTCAACCTATAACTGTTCTTACCTAACATACAACCATCTGAACTGGGAACAACTGCCATAACTTTGACATCATTTATGGGAGTATAGTGTAGATATTAACTAATAAAGATACAACAAAGAATGAGGTTACTCTCAGTGCTGACTAAATTCTATCATCAAGCTGGATGACTTGTCTTTATGGCACAATTCAAATTATTACAAGAAGCTAGTTCGAATCTCCTCGAGAACACTGAATCCTTTAAAGCTGTATGTATGCTATACTGATGAATGCCGGTAAGCAGAAATCCTAAGTCCAAGGCTTCCTGCCGATTCTCTTTGATCATATAATAGTAATGTACAGTGGATCGCTAAGATTTCTTCAAGCCAGGTGACAACACTGCGAACTTGTCTGAAACAATTCAGTCAGCATCACGAATGACATCACTTACAGCCCAGCGACCAACTAATATAAATATATCTCTGTATTCAACCTGCTATATTTTGTAAACTTATTATCAGCTTTTGAATTTTGCATATGTTTGTGGTTCAAATATTCCAGCCTTGAAACAATCACAGAACAGGATAGATGAACTTGTAAATATCAATATACATGGTTAGTAAAATGCAATAAAACTTCTACAGACTTATGTTTCATTATTGAAAGAGTTCACACTAGCCCACATCTGAAATCACATTCCTTACAGATATTTGAGTTAACAAATAAGCACTGTTAACTCAATCACAGGGATTTTTCTGAAATGGATTTTAATTAATATAAAAAGAAGATATGGGTACTGTGTAAAAAAATATCTACATGTTAAATAAATTTATTGGATAAAATACACGGCAATCACGTTGAGTTACGATATCAGAAAGTAGCAATTTAGCTAGATTCAGAATGACTACCTCTGCTAAACTAAACGATCCAGAAAAAGACTGTCCATTGCAATGCATCCACTTCCTTGTAATCATAAAATAGGTTAGTATAGAATAAAAGTATATTAAGAGGTAATATATTTAGGAGGAAAGAGAGGTTAATCATAGTATGAACACCAAATACATGGGATAAAATTAATGTAATACCTGTACTCTAATATTTAAACCACTGCATTAGAGACGTGTGGGAGTAAAGCTATATAAAGTTAGGTAGTCATATGGATAGCAGCAATAAACTGTGGTAGAAACGTTATCCGGTTACAACTATTGTGTCACTGTGAGCTGTATGAAATATACTAATCGAATATAGAATTAATTCACGCCAAATAACTATAGTACTTGAATAAAACTTAAAATGTGTATAATTACAGTCTAAAATATATCACAAAGTAAATATTAGCAACATTCTGTCTATTATAATACAAATATTCTATTTAAATTGAATTATTATTAGAGTATCCGTGTAGTTAAATAAAGTTACATTCATTTTTTTCTCAAGCGGAACAGCAGATTCCTTGCCTATTACTGAAACACAAGAAATAAAAATGAGTCTGAAAAGCAAACTTCCTCAAAAAAGAAAACAACAACTTGCTCCTTCGAAAATTAGCAAACTGCCAATTGATTCAACGAAAATTCAAAAAATAGAAGAAACACGTCGTCCTAAAGATCTACCTTCAGTTGATGTAGGTGTTGGTATTTATTTCTTGGTTATGAAAAGGAGATGAGTGTGTGTGTGTGTATGTATTCCTCTTAATTTTAGGGAACACCAACAACCAGGATTATCCTCAATATCTTGATTTATTTATAATTTACTATTTTTCAAAACTTTCAAGGTATTTGCATAGCTTGCTTGTCATAATGACAGAGGTGCTTAAAGAATGGTACTGATACCGTTGAAGTATAAACAACACTGATGCTTTATTGTCTCCAATCAGCGCACTGCATTTTGCTTGAGTTCGCATATTGAAACGAAATTATCTGTCTTAGTCTGGAAACCTCCGATGCTGGTTTCAGTACATATCGAACAATGGATATCTATAATTAGCAATATTACTCAATTTTTGAATGTACAATGTATCTCGGAAGCGCGTTACAAGATCTAAGTGCAGTTATTCAGCTAATCTCGTTTGACTGACATGATAATTCTACAGAATTCAGAAAATTCAGCGGTCAGTTTTCGTGGACCTAATATTGTGAAGATAATATTAAGGTCTTGAGTAGAAAAATCACCACTTGAATGGTTATCAGCAAACAGTTTTTCACTATGTTTTTCATCCAAGAGAAGCTGTGAAAAAAAGAAAGATCATGATATTTTTTGTCTTTTGTCGTAGTCTTTGTCTGTGCCCCCAGTGACTGCAGTTCGGTCAAAGCAAATAATAAATGCTGTCATAAGCTGTTATTTTCTCTTTAAAAAAATCTAAACAGTCAGGCGTAATCATGAAAGTAGCTGTTTTCAATACTCAAAATGTTAAACTGATAAAGTGATAACGGTGACTACAACTTTAGCCAGACAAGTACTTGTACCCATCCAGTATTGACTTCAGAAATAGAAAAATAGAAACTATCCATTAAATGACAGCTGACTTGAAGCTTGTAATGAACACAGAAATTTATTTATGGGAAAGGCATCTGAACTCTGACTACACCTCAGCCAGCATAAATGAATGAAAAACATAAACTAATGGTGCTACAAACCTGAAACTAGGTAAATTAGCAGAAGCTTACGGTTTGATCCCAAAAGTATTTAAGAATGGTGGCAACAAATTATTGATTAGACTTATTAATATATTAGTCAGTGTATAATTATTCCAGATTTTCCCATCAAACTGATTATTTTTACTTATAAAAGGTGGAAGAATTTTTGCCTGAGACAATCACAGGTGAATTAGCTAGACTGGTACAGAGCTTGAAATTCTGGTGGGTATGTTCATTTGACGGCTAAGTGAAGCTGGAGAAAACTCCATGCGGGTTTATACCGATGTGTTCTTCATCATTTGATTGTTTCTAGAACAGAAGCATATATACTGATATCCAAAATTTGACATTTTTCTTGACCAGAAGGTAATATTTGGCTACATCAGTTTACAGTTGTTGAAATGTCTTACTTTGAAGATGCTCAAAATTATTGTGTTGATCGAATCATTCTCCTGTAACTCATACAGTTGTATAAGGGAAGGTGCAGAATTATTACCTGAAGTAACTTGAATCACTGGTGTCATTTAGTTAATTTATTTGCAACTATACTTGCATGGCGTCGGTGGCATAGCGTTTGGACGCTCGCCGACCATGCACATGGTCCGGGATTCGATCCCCGGCCGGCGCACTCCTTTACCTCGCTAAGCCAGAACTAAAGCTGGTGAATAGGAAAGGGTGGGCATGAGGCTAGCAACCTCATCCTGTAAAAATAAACACTGCTACAGAAACTTCAAGCCTCTAGCTTGAAGCCATGTGTTCCACTGGGAACGTGAAGGAATAAAAAACAAAAAATACTTGCATGTATGAATTCATTTGTTTTCAACCTATCAGAAATTAATACACTGATAGAACAAGTATTGTATGAATTTAATTATGTAAGCGACATACTCTTCTTTAATGACAATGCTGAACAAGTGACAAATTCGCTGAAATATTTAAATATTCTCGGCGTGAAATTCACTCCTGTCATGTGTAAATTTTATAATTTTAATCAGGCTCACACAGACTACTGAAGTGAATATATGTCAAATAAAACTAATTCAAAAAAGTTAAGAATACGTGTTTTTTAATGATATTTAAATACTGTCATCACTTGTTTCAGACTTATACAGTTTCCTTTAGTCTTCATCTACTGAATAAATGTCTTAAGCAAGTCAATTCCTAAAAGTGTTTAGACATACTTCAAATCGTTCCGGATGTGATACTTTCAACTTGAATGCAGAAATGTTGAAATGCCGAAGTCTTTTTCTGAAGTATAATTTATTTATATTTATTTTTTTTGTTTTTTTGATTACAGCTTGATTCCACACCGTATTTTTTGGTACAGGTATGGAATTTTCAGCATGGATATCGGTAGCCCAAATTTTGCAGGCCGACCATAGATATCGGGTGTGCGTCGGCAGGGGATCGAACCCCGGACCATGTGCATGGTCGTCGAGAGTCCTAACCACTATGCCACCGACGCATTATGTGTTTTTATGAGAATTTAGATTAATTTACATGTAGACCTCGTCATGGACTATCATCAGCTATAGAGGATTAAAAACTGAAGAGCGCTGAAAAGCTGTTTCGTCGTAGTTCGGGACTCTTCATTATTGTCAAACTCATGAACCCACCAGAGGTCGAAATCAGGACTTTCAAGTTATGAGATAAAACCCATTGATTGCTGAGTCAGTTTTGACCTGAATTCAATGAACCATGATATACAATAGATGTTAGTTCGTGACGAAATCTGCATTGAAACTACAAAGACTCATGATGTAAATACCAATCTTCAGCTGATTGATGTCCACTGGATAGAGATCTTGATGCCTAATAGGGAATTCGGGACCCTTGGGGTCCATCATGTCAAGGTGAAATGCATGCTCATCGAAGACATTGCTTGACGGTAAGACTTTATCACGAATTGACAAAGTTAGAATTGATGGGTCAATAAATTCTGTTTTAAATGACTGAATGGTGAACAAGCTTTATCTCGTAACCTGAAAAAATCCTATATTCGATGCCTGATGGGTTTGTGAGTGCGCATTACTGCAGATTTTCAAACTGCAATGAAACAGCTGTTCAGTTTTCTTCGGCTTTCAGTGATCTCTAACAGATGCTGGTTCATGACGACGTCTACAGTGAAAATTATTTAGGTCGTTATCGCAACTATTTAGAAATAGCAAATATTCTAAGCAGTACCAAGTGTAATCTAATTTCCTTGTCTTATCCTGGCAATATTTTTCTCAATGCTAGAAAGAACTACCTCGTCTGACGTATACACCAAAACAAAAGCCCAAGGATATGAAACCAATCTTACCTAAAAAGCTACCTGAACCGACAGATAGTAGGATTAAACAATTTCATAGGACAATACCATCAGTTAGTTTCACACCAAATATTAGTAAACCATCTAATATTGGTGTTAAACCGCCAGTTTCAACATCACCAAAGATATCAGTTAAGCCAACCCCACGTCAAGTAGTAGTTACGCCAAGAGAAATTGATAAAAATAAAGTGATGTCAACTCCATTTGCCAAGCCGACAGGAAAAAGTCAAATTAAGCCCAAATCAACTTTGAAATCAACACCACAATATACGCGTGAAACTAAAATGAAACAAGGTGATCATACTAAAATCAGTGGAACTGTTCAAGCAAGACAATATCTCAGAGATAAAGACGCAAAATTCGCTACTGCTTCAAAAATAAATGAAATATCGAGAGAAACTTTATCTGATTTAAAATCCCCCATCTCAAGTACACCAGAAACAGTTATAATACAAACTGCTGATGCATCAAAACTCACAGAGCATACTCTTAAAATTGATTTGGAGGCTAATGAATCACTCATACCAATAAGCGATTCTAATATGGAGCGAACAATAATACCCACAGAAGAAGATGGTTCACCTTTGGAAGACAGATATGATACTCACCTACCTGAGATAAGTATTGCTACAGTTGAAAAAACAATAGATAATAAAAATCTTGTAAAACAACTGTACGATGAACAAATAGCCGAGCCTATAGAACAAGCAGAACAGTTAGAAGGTTCTGTATCACCTGTAATAAGTGATAGTCAACATGATGTTTCAAGACAAACTGTTGAATATACAACCCTGGACTCTGATATTAATCAACAGTTAACAAAGGTATCAGATGAAGAAAATATTGAAGTAGCCTATGCTGGCCAGGATTTACAAGAGTATGAAGTAGGATCAGGTGAAGAAAAAGTTAAAGTAGTCGACCATGAGAGAGATCTACAAGATTATCAAATAGAAATTATAGATAAGAAAGCCTCAACATTTAAAACATTTTCAACATCCGATGCTAGTGATAAAGCATCTGAAAAAACAGTGAGTGGTTATGATAATGGTGTTGGTGTTGTTCTTGTCGACAATGAAGTCAAAAAGGCTGATGACGATTACCGCATCAATGTAGATTCGACAATATTAAGTCCTGAAAGCAGTAAACGAAGTACCCCATTAACACCAGTATTAGGAGCGACACCTAAACATGAGGAAGTCGATGAAGGTGATCAGTTGGCTAAAGGAGTTTACAGTGAAAATCAATTACCACAAATGTCACCATTTAAAGAACATTCATTAAGATCATTTGTACTAACAACTGTGAGTACATCGCCTGATATAACTACCGAGCATGAAGGTAAATCATTGTTCACTCCTTTAGAAGGGGATAAGAGTCAATATGGATTAAATGTCATTGCAGGCAGTAGTCAACCTACTGATTTACCTACATCTGGTCCTACTACTCAGAGTAAAGAAGATTATAATTTAACTGATGAATATACTCATTTGAAGCATATCAGCCCTACTGAAAGTGTTGAACAAAGTCGTGTAAAACCCAGTGGTACAGGTATAACAACAACAACAACAGCAACCGATCAGCCAAGTCTTATAAAAATCAGTCCAAGTTCTATAACAAAATCGGAATTACCCGAAAAATCAAAATTAATACTTGATAGTTTAACCTTGAGTATAAGATCAAATATTACATTGACAGATGAATTAAGCAAAAGTACAAGTTGTTTAACATCCAAACAATTATTTAATATCCCACTGACAGATTTTCGTTTATCACATCAATCATATGCTGAACCGAATAGTGAGCCAATAGTTATACGTATTAAACACACTATACATTCTAAATCAAGTTTATATACACCAAGAATTGAAAATTTTAAATGTCAGAAACGTGTTTTAACTTCATTTAGATCAACGCCTAATCTATTGCTTAAAAGAGATGTTACATGGAATACAAAAAATACTGATAACTGTACAATACATTACTTACCTTCACCGGAGTCACGACAAAAATCGGAGTGTATTTCAGCCTCTACATCATTGGACACATTAAAGTCATACTACTCACAAAATGATCTTTGTTTAACTGATCCAATGAAGTTGACTATTCATCGCCATTTGAATGTAAAAACGCCACCATTAAAAAAATATGAAAAGGTCTCTGATGATAAATACACGTCAGCATATGAACAGCCAATGCCAGGTTACTCAAACTCACCTAGCCCAGTATGTGAAACCAGTAGTACAGCAATAATCGCTGTTAACAGTCATGTAACTCATTCTGATTTTGATATTTCTAGTCGAGTGAATTCCCAGTTGTCAATATCACCTAAAAATGTTGCTGATTCTAATGTCAGTGGAAGTTTCTGTCCACAATCAATCGATTCTGTACAGTGTAATGATATTTTAGAATCAGCTTTATTCAATAATGACAAAATGGATAATGAACGCTTTATTACCTACTCTCTGAATAATAATGAACTATCAGCAGTGGGGAGATTAAATACTTCGAACAATTTTATTCAATTTAAACAAAATAATACTGAAAATTTAATAAAGAATATTGAACTAAATGACGAGTATACATATGTGCCGATGGATAGTCAAGATTTGGACATAGGGCAACTAATCGAGTCTTCAAATGAATTATTATGCCAAAACAGATCATCTGATACTTCGTGTGAAAGAATAATTTGGGAAAATTCAGCAGAATTAACAGGGAAAGAATCTGTAAAATATATGGGACCGAACAATACTCCATTTTCTTATTCTTCATCTTCTCTAGATATTCATATAGATAATAAACAGGACAATGTAGATAACGACACCTCGGTGCTGTTCAATGATTGGCATAAAGAATCAGCTACCACCACTATGTATAAATGTCACAATTTCAGTAGAAATAAGTTATTTAGACAGTCTTCACCTGCATATTACTTTAATACATCGCCTGAAAGACCAGTCACAATGGAAACGCCAGATATTGATTTTATTAATTCCTCGAAAAGTGATTTAAGCAGGAATTCACAGTCTGGAATAAAGTTTTCAGAGGTTTTATTTGAAATACCTCAGGATATTAACAACGGCAGTAAATTTAAAAAATACGAACTTGACGGAATATCACAAAAGTGTTTAAGTAAGCAGCGAAATACAAATTATTTTCTTCTGTATACAGATAACCATGTACACCAACCTAATTTAGAAACAACAATACATCTGAAACAGGCATGATTATTTGATGAAATCTAATGGATTATGTAACTGTGAAGAAACGAGTAATGACAATTAAAATTATGATTTGTATTCCTGTGATTCAAGCATACATTGCATTTGTTTATCTTAATGTTGCCATGTCTTTAGGTTCACAAACTAAAATCCTAAATGTGCTTCAAGTAAAGCCTATAGATTTAATTCATACAGTAGTCGTGAATAAATCAGTCAGAATTTACAAGCTTATAGAAACCACCAACCTTTCCATGAAGATATTCGAAGACATAAAGCAGATCTGTGCAATTTCGGATGTACTGCTATCAATAATACCAGAATTATGAATTATAAAGTTTGTGAAACAACCAAAATAAAGTGTGTGAGACAAAGAATCATCAAAAGATTAAGACTCAAAAACACCTGAAGAAATCATACTTACTCAGTATTCTATGTTTCATTTGTCTGCATCCGTTTTGGCCTGATGGAGAAACAAATAACAAAGTGTTTACACCCACACACTGATAGCGAAACATTCATTCTGATGGTCGAATCTTCTCCACACACTTCTCTGAAAAAGAAATCATCTATAACTTTATCTATTTCACCCTCTTACCATACATATAAACCGAGTGTATGCTCATCTATTTGTTTAAATGTTCGAACTTTAGCTAAATATGTTAACCCAATATATTCACTAAGTTATGTTAAATTAGCACTCAGATGACGTAATAGAACTTAAGAAGAAAATCAAAATGATGCAGAAGTATTACACAACTCTGAAATTCATGAAAGTGTTAAGAATGTGCAGCCATCAGAACGCTTTACTGTCGAAGATAATTATCATACAAGTATGTGTTTCTTTACAGCATATAATATCAATGGACTTGAAAGTATAAAAACCAACAAGAAGGATATATAATCTCATTTGTATATTATTCAGTCAAATGCATTTAATTTAATTAAAAAGTGGAATAGAAAGAGAGTACAGTCTGATCTCGTCATGAAATACAATATACCATAGGATAGAAATATCACAAGGCCTCAATATATGTAAAAGATGGTTCTTATTTCTATGAGCACTTGCTACGTCATCAGAGTATTTTGTATTATGCAGTATATCATAATTACCAAAATGGAAATAAGATTATTTTTTTCAGTGACTTACAAAGTATAATCAACCACTCATCGGTCATAGCTACTGTTGTCACATCAGTGTTGTACTGAAAACTTTCTAGAAATCTGCAGACAATGAAGCTCACTAATTATGTTTCACTTCAAGTGAAATCCATCTATTCCTAACACCTTTCAGTTTAATAGTGTGAAGAAAAGTATTTGGCATTTCTAACTTTATTCAACAATTCACAGTATCTAAATGTCTTATACAACAAGCATCTATAGTTATCTTTAAATTAAAATTGACTATAGAATAGTCAATAGTAAAAACATCAAACAAGAGATATATATACATCTCAACATTTATCCCTTACTAGAATGGATATTTTACCTATCCCGTCATCATTAGATTTGGATAAATAGTGAAGACGCAGAAATACCGATCACTAAATGATTTAAAACAAATTTTAGTAGTATAATCCTCAATTTTTATATTCAACCCTCTAGTATAGTGCAACAATACCATCGAACAACAGAAAGTATGGACGATAATATTTAGTATGTCTAGTAATCGAATGAAAACTGATTTGTTGATAATTGAATCTACAGAGATGGTCCTGGCAAAATGGAATTATTTAAAGGAATGTTTAGCAGTGTCATACATTGCTAAGTCAATGCTTTCACGTATTATTCACCATGATACTTAAACTCTGACAGTGAAGCGTCAAATACTAAAAGGACTTTTAATATTTCTGTTGATAATGGAGATGACCACTTCTGTTATACTATACAAGCAAATTTGTGTCAAGTATATTTACTATATAACAAGAATAATACATAAAAATACCACACGTATAAATTCCTCCGTCAGTACAACGTGATTTTACATTTATAAAAGTCAAATAAATGGACTACTTCGAAAAAAAATTGGTTGGGTTTTTATTTGACGAATATTTTCTATATTCGTCTTAGAAAATTGACTGTAATCAGCCTACTACCATCTGAAAGTTTTTGAGGATTCAGTGAAAAGAGTCCTATCTGGAAACTATACACTCATCCAGATATTTTTCTCATTCGTTGTTTTATTATTTGCCCAACGTGTTTATCTCATCACTTATTGTTGCTGTTATGGTGAGAAGCACAACTTCACATAAATATGACATATCAACGAAAACTGTTATTCAGTCAGCTGGTTGCATGACATAGTCAATTTGTTTTTAATGAGAAAATACCTGTTTGCATGTTTAAATAAATCACAGTCGTGATCACTTGAGATTTATATCACTAAAGAATAATTATGTACACACACATAATAGTAAAAAGGTGATTCTCTGAAAAAATCAGGAAATAAGTTCTAGAAATTTACATATTTTGTTCTAATAACATCGTAACACACAACAACAACAGACAGAAAATAGCAAAACACCATTCATTTTGAATGTAATGACAAAAACAGTGGGGTTTCTTTCCTCTCAGCTGGTTTACTCTTTGTTTTACCAACACGTTTTCATCAAAATAAATGCAGAATTTATTTATTTCTAGTTTTATTGATGAAAAATAAATAAATACGCACAAAAAGTTCTTTGATAGTAAATCTGAAAAGATGGCTTTGTTGTTTTATTATTTTTTGTTTTCATTGAAATGTTCTGATCACCCGGTATTTTTGTTCTAAGAATAACTTCAATATCACTCGTAAAGTGACAGAAAAAATGGATCACCTCATAGTCATCAATTGTGTCATATTTTTGAAGAAGACAAAGGACTATTGTTCTATAATATCACTTTGCTCTGTGCGATTTTCGCACAGCAGTTAATCATCGTTACTCAGATCTGTATCACCCACCAGGTCAGTCAGGAAGATGACTCAATCAGTCAATCAGTGAAGTAATAAATTTACATGGGCTAATGTTATGCATTCTAAACTATCAACCTTCTAAAAGAATGATAGTGAGGCTAGGTTAGAAAAACACTATGGGTAGTGAAACCAAAAGATGGGTTTTCAAACTCTTGGTCTGAAACTTCTAGAGAAACATAGGTGGTCTTACCAGAATGTCAGGATTTTATAGTTGCACTTTCAGTAATAGGATTCAAGATCGCTCATAATAATGCTGATGTATTCACTCTTTTTATTTTTTTACGTTCCAATTGAAACATGGTGCTTCAAGCTAGAGCTCTGAAGTTTTGGTAGCAGTGGTATTTATTTTTACGGGGTGATGTTGCTGGTCTCATGCCCAGCCTTACCTCTTCACCAGTTTTATTACTGGCTTAGTGAAGTAAAGGAGTGCTTCGGCCCCGGGTATCGAACCCCAAACCACATGCGAGCTATTCTAGCGCTGTACCCCTGGCTTACATTCACTCTTTAGCGGGTGTGAAATTCTTCTGTTACTCCTTGATCTTTATTTAAATATGCTTTTCTCCCATATTTTTAATTTATTACCTGCAGTATTATTGCACTTTCATTTAATTTATGTATGTATTATGTTTTGGAAAGTGACAACTCAATTCTTTATCTGGATCCATGTTTTTTTTACAATATGATTATTGGGTACTGCTAGAGAATGAAAATCTAATCTACTGTCTCATCATTGCATAACTTGGTATGGTGATAGCGGAAATTTAATTTCAAACCTTAGATATTTAAATGAAATGGCGTGAACTAGTTAAGATGTACAAGTGACTAGTAATGACAATTACATGAAACAAGCAGAGTAATGGTAATTTTACCTTTCTACTCTTACAACTCTATGCATAGATGAAATGAGAGAGATTTCTTTTCCTCATTTGTGTAATGAATTTATTAAATTCTGGTGAAGGCGTTCATCAAACTCTTAGGATTTGATACCAAGGCTTGATAAGCTTCAGGTTATTTTTGGCCTCATCATTCACTACTGATCTCTTTCCTACGCTAATACTTCAAAATTTTGTTACTCCTACTCCTGAAACAAGATTGAAAAATAGCATTGGATATAAGACGGTGAAGCTGCCAAACAGTAACGTATCAGAGGAGTAAATGACGCATTCAGATGACCAGTAGCTACAGATAACAGGTTGCAATAGCCTTTTATTAAAAACCACTTTTGGAGACAGCATGAACTACAAAAAGCATGTTCGTGATATTCATTTCCAGAAATTAGACAATTGTGGAGAACGAAACTGAGATAACATGTATTTAATCTTTGTTACATTTAAGAATCTTAAGTTAAATAAAATGCGGAAGTTTAGTTATAGTTTAACGCTTGTTTGCAAACAATACTCCTGGTGAAAGAAAAGTAGGTCAGGTGTGACATCTTCTTAACTGTCTCCATCCAAGTTTAATTAAGTTAGGGTGTAGTGACCCATTTTATTACTCATCATCGTAGTATACTTTCACTATGTGATTGGACTTTGATTTGTTTATCACTCTAAAGAACGCGTGTTAACAATTGATACTTTTGTACTCGCTCAATTTTTGAATTTTGATTGCTGCGATAATACACGATCGTATTCCTTCGCAAGTGCCTTTTGATTTACGTTGTGGATGTCGGGTAATCACAACGTTAGGACACAATTATAAACGCGAAGAAGTACTAGGACATATGTGTAAGCTCGTTTGAAAAAAAAGAGAGCAGCACAACAAGGGGAAGACGATCAAAGTCTCGTAGAGTGAGGATCACATTAAAAACTCTGCCATTAAATTTCTATCAGCACTTTTAACTAGACAAGGTAACACTAACTATTCTTTGGTATCTATCCATTTAATCACTGATATTCATTGCACATACTGATATAGTATTGGGAGACAAATAATGACGGAGTATAGAAAATACATCTGTTTAACTTTTTTAAGTTGTCGTTAGCAGAATACCTGATCTAGATTTAGTTCCCATAACAACTAAGATGATTCATCATTTTTGAAGACTGTTGAGACTTTGTACCTGTTATAAACTGATATTATGGTATCCATATTGTGGATACGCTTAAAGCATCACTACACCTGCTTTGTTCAATACGATAGTTTATAAATTACATTAGCTAACAGAAAATGTATCGTATTAGCCATAGTAGTTGTTTTAGAATGGAACATCGAATCTATATTGCTGTTGACTTATTTTATTACTCTCTAGATGCCTTGAATATTTTTCTAATACGTTTCATTTTCCAATTACTCTTTGTTTACTGATTTTAAACTCTTTCGCTACAGATAATTCAGCGGCATCTGAAACTTATCGAACTGCGAAGTTGTTAAGGGATCAAATAAGTATGTTAAGGTCAGGTATGAAACAACTAATGTATCCACCTTTTTCGCTATTGTTAAGTAACTTACCAGTGATGCACAAACTGTGACAAAATTTAACTAACCTTTCTTCCCTTAAAATTGTTCTACTACTTCCACTTTGCCAATTATGGAATTATTAAGCTAACTCTGTCACTCTTTCATTTCACTGTACTCGTATTAGCCTGAACGGGTCAGTGTGCATCACTTATTTCGTATTAGTAGCACATAATCCTAAGCCTTTATGACTGAAACGCTTTGTCTCGTGTGTTTATCTACCGAAATGTTGTTGTGAACTATCTCCGAGTTTAAAAAATGGGAGTGAAACGACAAAATGTATTTGTTACTCCATTTATTTGAGTAATTGTTCAGTTGCAATACTTCCCAGTGCACTTTGACTAGATAAAACATTTTCTGAAGAGTTCTGGACACTTCTCCTTGTCCATGTATACGATGATGCTATAAAACTTGTCTGTTTCTACTCATAATACGACGATAAAGAATGAAGTGGTCAAGTGTTTCTTCCCTGATAAAATGGATGACTAAGAAATCTCGGTAAGGACAAAATGACTTCGTTTTGCATCTACAAATTTGCATCATCCTTAGCGCAGGCGTTTTAATACTGTGCAGCGGTTCACTGAAGTTGTTAGATGTGGGAAGAGTCCATGCTTTTACTTCTGGTATTTTATTTTAAATAGCAGACTTAGATTCAGCAACGTGTTCACTGAAATCAGACTCGACTATCTGAAACCATGATTCTACATTACCTGGCCAAAATGGCACTCAGAAGAAGTAGGTATAGGTTGGAAAATGCCCACTAACCTTTATTAATATATATATATATGTCTGTAGAAGTATCATCACGTGTATCCTACTTCTTTAATGTGTTTTTTGGAGTGCGAAAAATTTAACTGATGCATTTGTATTCAAAGTTTTACTTAAGCTTCTCAGACAAACAATAAGAAACTGAGTCATTTTCTTATTCATTTTAAATTGTATAATACATCATGAGTCTCTTTATACTTCCAAGGTAGTTGCAGAGGGATCAGCCTTACCAACATGGTGTCTAATACTGTAGTTCCAATCGTCGTGTGAATATTAAGTAAATTCCCTGTAAAGCCGAACCTGACAGAAATAGTCGGGCTTTCCACCCAGAAGATACTGAACTGATCATATCTTTATCCTCTGGCATACTCTGCAGCACGTGCTTACTTACTGGCATCCAGTGCTCAGTATCCTTATTACCTGAAGGTGACACTTCACTTAGTCAAGCGAAAGATGGTGAGAAACATCTGGTTGTGAAGACAGAAAGAAAAGTAGGTTGTATAGACCAAAAAACTGTACTTCACCTCAAGCAGCTCTAATACGGCTTGCGGCGAGTTGTCATTCAAATGGACAGCAACCACAGATGTCCATCAGCAATGCAGAATATCGGCATTCTTATTTAATTTCCTCGGGGAAGTACTAATAGGTGTGATCCTAGTCGACGTTGTTTTTGCAAGGATTAATTTGTTACTAGAGAAAAGTCTTTCTGATTTAGAATGAGTAGATGATCAATCAGAGATTTTCCTCAACATCGTTAGTAAAAACCTAAGTATGTTTGCTATGCGACTTTCCCCTAATAAACAATATAATGTGGCGTAATTAGTCTATTTCGAGGAACTGTTTAAGTATAGACAATTAAACGGTTGAATGTGTTAAGGGCTTAATTTATTTGTCCTGCCTCATCAGACTTAACAAACGTTTTGCTAAATGAATCTCGGAGCAAATATAATAGACTCCTTTGCATTTACCAACTTGCTTCACCTTTGATTAAAGCATGATGTCCCACCATCGATCAGCAGTAACTCCCTTTGTCCTACTCTACGGCATTGACGCATGGTCGATAAGAGTAGAAGTTATGAAAATACTAGTAGCTTTTTCTATGGGTAGTGAAATATGGTTAATAATAACGAAGTTAGAAGGAATTTTGGTGAGGCCGGGAGTTTAATCAATACAGTTGTGAAACAGCATTCACTGATGTAACTAGAACATGGCTTATTGCATTCCTAGCCATCATCTTCCTCGATGAATGATGTTAGTTGAAGTTTTGTTAGGTCGGAATTTAGTTAAGGACAGTCAGACCAAAATATGCCACGAACACATGGAGTCATTCATTGTTTGTTTAAGCCATACAGGGACATAACGGTTGATTGGTTGAGGTCTTCAGATTACTAAGAAATAGTGTTTGGAGGCTTTTAGTGATACAGCTCAAAAACATTAGCAGAGAAACAGATATATTCAGTAACCGTTATCATCCACATCCTGAAAATATTCATTGTCTTTATCTAATTATTCTCAAAGTCACACATTTCCGTTTATTGCAGTCTCACAACGTTTCTTTCTCTACTTTCGTCAGTGTTTCTCGAAAGTTTTTCATGAACCTACTTCATCACTATCCTTATTTAATTTTGTCATTTATCGTTGAAGCAATCTAATTTTCACAACAGCTAATCTACTGTACTTGTTAGAACTGCCTTCTGTGCAGAGTATTCTCTAAAATTCACACTTTTCAATACATATATTTATATATATATATATATATTCTTACGTTATTATTCATCTTCCGGCTCCGATTATTGATATTTGATGATGATGAGGTACTTAGATCTCACAGTCATACTTGATCTTATGATCTGTACTGTAATTTAGAAAACTAATTTCTTAAAGAAACCATAGTTGACATAATTGTTTCTTAGTATGATATATTTAATACATATTGACATTTCTAAACTGAAATACCTCTCCAAAAAAGGCTTTCGTGACTCTTGGTCATTTATACTTAAAAGTTTCCCTAATTTGCACTTGTCAAAACATAGTATAAATGCTAGATTTTCCCCTCGTAGGTGTTTGATGAGACAAAAATATGCTCATCAACAGCATTCTAGGTGAGAATACTTGCAAAGACAACTTAAAACTGAGGTACATTAGTTGAATTAGAAATAACACACAAAGAAATTTAAAGCCATATATTATCTTCAAGTATTCGTAAACGTGTACTTCTGAGAAGTTTTGAAGAAGGAAGCAACAGGTATTTGATACTAACTAGTGTTCAAAAACCTTAGTTATAGTCAGTCTCTGATATAATTGCTCACAAATTTTATAATTTGGGAACATATTGTCTAATATGAATAGACTGAGGGAAATCGACATTCACTGAACCACCATTGTAACAAAGATTTTCGGACATATATATTACTGAGAAACCCATTTCATGTATGAGCAGCACTAATTCAGATATCATGCAAATAGGCATATGAGTGCACCTGCAATAAATTTATTGAAAATTTCGAAACATTGTAAGTGTAGTTTTATAATTTAATTCCATAATATTCATTCATATTAGTCATTACAGTTATTCAAAAAAAAATGTTAATAATAATTACTAAAACTGAAAGCTACAATTGAGGAAGGCATTGACTCCATTTATATAATTCTTCTGCTTCTTCATATCTATCCGAATTTTCATCCAAATATTGATTTCCAGCCAAACTTATTTGTCTTCCAAGCGGATTCTGAAATATATATATATATACGGATATTGTTAGATTGTATATTTATCAGTTAGTTTCCTTAGCTACTCCCCTGATATTAAACTCGATTTAGGCGCTTAGATAATATATAGGATTCTGTTACTGTCATACTGTTTCCAACTTTTCTGTTTACAAATGCATCGCACCTTATACACCTCAGTTATACTTTTGATTTTTGTTTTGTTTCATCTGCATATTTTACATGACTCAAAAACCTGCTCCCTCTGCACTGCTATTAATCAAATAGCAGTTTAACGGCTTGTTTACATCCAGCTAAATAACATCACTGAAAACAGAAACTTGATGTAGAACCTCAAGTGAAAAGCTTAATTGATGAAATGTTATGAGAGTTAAGGAATAGGATTGGTTAATGAATATAGTCCAGGATATCTGATAACTTCTAAAATTGCTGATTTAATGGCTTGAAAAACACTGGTCACTAAGCAAACTATATTTATTATTATTATTATCATTATTATGAATGTTAGAAGTATAAGTTCCTCAAAGAATGCAAACGAAACCAAGGCTGTTTATACTTGTATTTCGCTATTTGATCCTGATATTTCTTATCAAAGCAATGGTAGAACAGTACTTTTCGCTTTATTTTTCCATGTTTTGTTTTCCAAACAGAACATATTCTTTAATCCTTAAGTAGCGATGGTGTCGTTCTTAAGAGGTGGGGGCCCAACCTTACCCCCTTTCCTGGCTTACTACTGGGCAGGCAAGGTTTGGAAGTGCGTTGGTCGTTAATCGATCCCGGATCTTGTGCGTAACTGTTGAGCACCTTATCACCAAATAACCGACATACGAAACCCCAAATTATGCATGGCGATTCAATGAAAGTGGTTGACTGGCTTAAATCAGTTAGTCTATGTAAATCAAGTTTACAATAAGCGATACCTTAATTTTCTACCTGACTAGAAAATATTATATTAAATCCCCAAATAACTCATTCCATACTACCATACAGATCCCTTTTTTCGACCGACACTTTCTTTAAGTACTGATAAAGCAACTCACCCTTTGCTAGAATAAACATGCAAAGTTAAGTATGTCTAATTCTAAATCGAATACTTCACTTTGCAGACTACTGAATTTATTATGCATCTAAATTTGATTTCTAACCGACATTAGTTTGAGAAGCATTTCAAGTCAAGGAGAACTAGAGTTGTTGCAGTCTAGCAGGATGATTCTTGTGATCAACTGATAAGTCTCTCTGTAGTAAAACCAGTTACTTAATGCTGTTTACTTTTCAGTGAATTTCTAACTGAAATATACTTGCGCAAAAAATATTCATTCCACCTTAAAATCCTTATAAACACACAATCTGACTTGGATTATCCAGTATATTGTGACCTTAAGTCTGTGTCACAGTAACCGTTCTTGAATATTTCGTTTGAATGTAGTTTTGGTTTCACATTCCTAAAATGACTGTGTCTTATTTAAACCAAAGAAATGCAGAATATTACTTATAAAATTAACTCACACTAGAATCGTTTAGTTTTTCACTATGATATGTTAAACGTTTTGTTTGTTTCGAGATACTTCCCTTTTGACGATGTTGCTGCCGATGTTTGTAACAAGGCTGTTCATGCTGCAATGACTTCCTTTTCAGCTGGATTAACTTTGACCGTGAAACTGGTCCTAATATCTCAGGTTGTATTGCTGTAGTTAGTAAGTTGACATGGCGTTTCATATTCGGTTTGCAGCTTAGAGATGGTGTATCAAATAAGTCAGAGAGATAATCCAACCTTTCGATAACTAAGCATACAAAACACAAAGAGCATATATACTTCACAAAGTAGACTTATAACAAAGAGTAACTGCTATTATATCATACAAGTGAGATAGTTACATCAATCTCAGGATAAAAATAAAAATTCCGATTAATAGGACTCAATATGCTTGGATTAGTGTTCGTCCGACAAATGATTTAAATATTTACTGACCTATAGTTAGTAATGAAATAAGGAATCTGGTTATTAAACTAATTAATAAGATACTATCACATATCACTAGCTGAATTAGAAGGCAAACTTAAATACGGTGCTAACCATGATGTCCTTGACTGTTGGCCTGAGTCGTGAGAGGAAATGTGGACTCATTGGTTGAGGTCAAATTTGCTGTCAATACATTCACTCCTTATGAACTAAATTCACCAAATCCTTAATCTTCCTGCCATACATGTCCGTTCATTACAGTCCTTCTGAAATTTTCTCCGTACCTTTGAGTGGTATATGGAGTGTGGCAACCTGGACTGCTGCAGCTTTGTGCAAAGTTCTACATTTATCATGCAATTGACTGTTAAGTATCTTTTAAATAATGGCGTTAGATATCAGTTTTCATTTGACATGATGCTCTGAACACATTTTTGTAGACACTTACTGACAAACTGTGTCAGCAACCATGAGAAGTTTATATCTCTTCTGAGATGTGCACTTGTTTTTACTAAGTTCCTATATAAATGAGTTTACTACTGTTTTACTCGACGTAACATAATGTTTAGAAACGTATGTGTACAGCACGTTTCGGAGAAACTTTCGTACACTTCCTTCATCAAATCCAGTTTATTTAGCTCTGTCTCTCCTACTCAGTTCTTATACGTGGATATTTTAACTTACATATGACACAGTGATGGCACCTGACTTTAATTCACAGGGTTGCGGGTTCTAATGCCTCTTTCCACCTACTTCAACTTGCACGACTGAGTAATATCACCATGTCATTCTATTAGTTATTTTAACTGTCTCATGTATCCTGTTTCCACTCATTTATAATATACTTTGCATAGTCGTTTGAATTTGAAATAGCAAGCCCACATTGTTTCGTTTTATCGACACACATAGTGATTTAAGACCACTTACAGTTGATGAAGTGGGAAATATTATCTTTACTGTCATATTTACTTCTTTAGTTCCCAGGGGAAAAAATTATGAAATAAATCAAAACCCCTTTCAATAAGATGCAGTGGAGACTTAATAAAAGGGTGAATAATATTTTCAGTTTTACAAACCCACTCACTGGAAGGGTACAGGGACATTCAGCTGAAAAATCCCAAATAGAAAAAATTCACTTGCTAGTTTCTGTCTGAATTACAACTCAACTAATAAACTAAACGGGACAGGTTATTTACTTGTCTATATATAAGCCTCACAAGTGAAAAAAAATCTGAGCTTTTAGAATGAAAGTGGAGATTTGTTAGAAAAAAACACGAAATATTGTAAAAATCGTTCTATTACCGGAGATATTTCGCTTCACTGTTATCCGTAGACATAGTCACTTTATTATTATCGGAAGACTTTATTCAAAATGCAGTTGGGTTAGCAGTTTCAAGAAATTAGAAAGGCTTTTAGTCAGTATAAAGGTGGACTAGAAACAGACAAAAGCCATGTAGTTGCTAAAATCAACCCAGTATGTTTCCTAAGTATTATTTGAGTGGTTCAGTGGAAAAATGTTTGTCATTGCAGGCTTGTGGTCCGGATTCGATCCCAGGCCGATACACTCCTAAGGCTTCAGTCTAGCCAATAGTAAGCCTGGAGAAAAGGTAATGTCAGGCGTTAGGCTAGCAATCTCACATCCTTGAAACAATACCATTATCGTTACTGAAAATTAAAAGCCCATATTCCACTCAGAATGTAAAAGAATGAAAGCAGATGAATCGTAATTACAGTGTGGGTAGTTAAAAGAACGAAATTTCCATAAATATTACTTTAAAACCATCTCTTGACTGAAATATTACCGCAATTCGACCAGCATATGTGACTAAGACCCTTTTCTTTTAGAGAATATTCCATAAAACGTATATCGTTTTTCAGAAGTTTGTACCATAGAAAAAATAGAATTTATATTACTGATTTGCCTATCAACATAGAATTTCGCATAAAAGTGCAGCACTTTAAGTAGCTAAACTTCTGGGAAGCACACATAAAAGTGGAAATAGAAATATGGTGAAACTCCAACGAAATCAAATATACGGCGGAGAGAAGAACTAGACAAAGTTTATTGAATATTTTCAGAATCTTGAGGATAACGATCAGTGAATACATCTGCTCCACTGAAAATGTTTTTGAGGCATGTCATCAATAGTCTCCAACCACTGATTTTTAGTATCCTAAGAGCTCTAGTCAGGTTATTTACACTTCCCCGCATTGCTCGAACCAACATGCGAAAGTTCCACGGTTTTTTGGAATTTTTTCCCTGACCATCCTATTAACGCGGAAATAACAGAGAATAAATGAATAGTACACCGATGCAGACTATCAGCCAAATAAATTCATTCCCATTCCAAGATGATGAGAAACATAAAAATGCGATTTCCCTAGCACAAATGTAAAGTAAAAATGACTCATATGTTAACAACTTTTTGATCCCACTGAGGAAGTCAATACATAATGAGCTAAAGGAAGCCAAACCATCATTCGGTACTGTTGTACACTGCACTTAATAGGAAAATAAACAACATAGAAGTTTGACGTAAGAACTTCTCTGAAAACTTTGTCAATTTGAAAGTTACTTAATAACAAATTGCCAGTAGTATTTCACCTTACAAATACAGAATTCTAACAGAGCTCCTATACCTACACGATGTAATATACTGAATAAGAATAAGTCTCGAGAACTTTTCAACTGCCATGTCATATTTATATGTGCCAAATTCCATAATTTGTCCTGTATGAGGCATCTTACAAATGAACTTGTTTATTATTAAACATATCTGACTGCTTATACATCTAGCCGGACATAAAAAGATAATCCTTACTGCGGTTTGTCACATTTAATTTTTGAAGTATTTCTGTATTATCTGAGAGTGACAATCACTACGCAATTTTGATTTTACTCACCTTTTCCATCTAGATGGCGCCATTTATTTTGATATCCACCAAAGGTAGCGGGGAGTTCTTCAGTGAAACGCTTTTTTAAAAAAAAGTTTGAGATAATTCATGTGGTTAAGCCAAAGCTTGACATATTGTGCGCCAGAAAACTAAAGTAAACTCTATGGATCAGAAACAGAAATAAGTATGCTGACATTTGCATTTAATTTCATTGTCTCTGGAAACATAACCACAACTTATTTATAACAGGAAATGTCATTATAAATGGTCTTATAATTTTAGGGGTATTGAATCTACTGTTGTCTAATAGAGCTAATAACTACTCATTCTAGAGATCAATCAAATTACTCTTGTATTTATTTTCTTATCCACAATCGCAAGTTCGGGACGACTTTGGGGGTTTTAAGTGTAGTTTCGAGGTAGACTAGTGTTAAGTCCTTGGAGATATGCATCGAGATTCCTGCAAATCCTCCAGTATGTCAAAATTACCCTCAAATACTCGAAATTGTTTTACAGGATCTATTTTAACTTGTTCAACTTTTTCGTCATTAAGTTACTCCACTTATACCAAGGGACTCACAAAACATATTTCGTGACTTGTTCTAAAATCGCTAAAGCGTTAATAAGATTCTAAGTGCTTATGCAAGGACTTTGCTCAAATTTCGCATTTTCGGTGATATGAGTGAGGGTCTAAACATTCATTCAAAATCTGACAATATTTGATGCCTTTTGGAACTGATGTTCAACTAGATAAGTTTTTCTTACCACATTCACACTCCAGTCCTACTTTCACCTTTTAGTTTTCTCCTACTCAAATTACACACATCGAGTCACCAAGAGGCTAATGCAGTACGCCTCACCAAAACTATTTGGTATAAGTTATCGAGGCATGAGACAGAATATAGGGAGGAAAATGCACAACCCTAGACTTTTCGCAAGCTTCATCAATTCTTCTGGCAGGATATTTCGCAGTCGGAAGTTCCCTTTAATATTTCTGTTTTTGTTAACCTCAGAACCTATGAGAATAGCCTTTAAGACAGAATATAGCAACTATTCTAAATTACTTCACATTTGTAAAGGCATAGAAAGCGTAGGGGATCAAAACTGAATAAAAAATTTGTTGCGACTGTTAGACCAGAATTCATTTTGACTTCAAAAATTTCGCTTAATTAAAATAGTCAGTAAAATCCAGTGGGGTGAACTTCAAATACAACTCAAGATTTTTGTAGTGCAATCGATGATCAAAACTTTGCAACACAGCAGTCGCAGTCGCTTTGTTAACTGCATTTTCGAAGAAACCACTTGTCCACTACTACGATCAACATAGGTAAGGGCTTTACTAAAATGGATGGCGAATATAAGACATTTATTTATTTATTTTTATTTATTTATTATAGCTTGATTCCATACCGTATTTTTGGTACATGTATGGAATTTTCAGCATGTGATATCGGTAGCCCAATTTTGCAGGCCGACCATAGATACCGGGTGTGCGCCGGCAGCGGATCGAACCCCGGACCATGAGCATGGTAGGCGAGAGTCCTAACCACTGTGCCACCGACGCACATGTGTAATTCCTTTATAAAATGTAATTGAAACTTCACCATAAAATAAATTTTAGATTTACTATAAATTTGTGTTTTTCTAACTTATAATCTGGCAAATCTGAACTGTTTTACCTTGATGGATGAAGCGATGTCTGAAAGACAAGTCTCTTTCATAAAATGCGGCTGAAAGTAGATACAGGAATCTCCGAACAAAAGGTCCAAGTATTTCCTTCTACCCAGTGATTTTACTAGACATTTGGTCACCTATTATTGTAAAACACAGAAATATATTCTTACACTCTCAGCATTATCAAAGTTATCTAAAGGCGATATATTGATTAACGAGCATGATGTGTGCTTCACATTAATTTTGAAGCAGATAACTGGGGGGAATTTAAGTCCATCCAGCCAGAATTCATAAGATAATTTTAAAAACTTTATTTACCTAAATAGGATAACTGTATCACATAAGCCATCTTTGACTAGTGTTTGGTAATCATCTGGTAACAGCAGCCTCAGAACATGCTTCTTTGGTAAGTTTTCCTGAAAGATACAAAACATAAATATTTACTAACCAAAATTTTGACAGCGAACTTAAAAGTCCTGAATACAAGCTTATTATGATAAGATAACCATGTCTTTTGGATAACTTTCGCACATCGATTCTTAAGCTCCATTCTAAGCAATAATTGAAATCACGCCCCGTGTCATAGAAACCCATAAAATTGCGACCTATAAAGGTCACCCATTTCGATCATACTGCTCAATAATATCATTTATACATGGACTAAATGACTACATTTAGATGCTACGCTGATTTTCTTTGTGATTTGTGCGTTTACTATAAGTTCATCTCATCAATAGTTTGTCGTGGACAATGTCCAATATGTCCAATTTCTTCCACTCAAATTGTTGGGACTTTTCGCGCACCAATAATATCAACTTTGGAGCATTATGTAGGAAGCCGCCACAAGAGCAAGTCGCAGAAGCATCTGACAACGGTAGACACTAGCGAGCCCATTGAAGTATATTAGCTATTGTGGCTACGTGCAATCGTTCATGAGAAGACGATTTACCTCTGCCATCAAAAGTGCCGTCAAATTTTAGTGCCTAGGCCTATCTGAGCTCTACCTGGAGTAATGCATCTACTAGAATAGTTAGAGCAATGGTCCTTCTACAATCATACGCACATTTGCTATCCAAACTAATAATACGTTTCGAATCCTGAGAGTCCATGTCCATTCTATCCCATTGTACTCAGATTCGCACTTTATAAAAAACAGGAAGGAAATACACTAACCAACCAGTTATGGAAACTGGTATTGCTATGAACCTTTTTCCTGCTGCCTGTCACATAACATTATTCTATGGTATGCTACGGAGTGAGTACTGGGACAGGACCCAGTGTCATTCTAAATTCTGTAGCCAACACCTCTACAATTTTCTACCCTTATCATTTCGAGTACCAATGGTTCTTATTGAAAATTCCTCAACGTTATCCTCCTATCTCGTTCTTCACTCCTCCAGGTTCTCAATGTGGCTGGAGTTATCACGAGATCTCTAGTTTTTCGCTTCATGCCATATGTACAACGAAAGACTACTAATTTGTACTTCAACTCCCGAAATTCATGGTTCCGTATGCAATTCTTCGTGTATGAGTTGCCTAGGAATACTCCGCCATATATATGTATATATATCGTACTGATTCCAGTTGACTTAGGGCATCTTCTACTTGAACCCAACTGGTATACCAGTGACTAAACATAATTCCGTCAAAAGATTTTTGGATGTCCACTGATATAGGAAGGGCAGGTTGGTTGCCATTGTCTCCAGGTGCCAATGCGTTCATTGGGTATCACTGTAAATGAAAACAGAAGCTTTTGAATTAAAAATTTACCAATCGCCAACAAAATACAATAAGCAACATGAAAGTGACACTGACTTGGAAACTGTAGAGGAATTCCTTACCACAATAACCGTTTTGGAAAGTTCCTGATTATAGCCACAAACGTTTACTGAAACACTCGTGAAGGACAAATATGGACACAAGTAATAAAACGAAGCTCTGCAGAAATCATTGAGACGCCACAAACAGGAGGATTTTAGGTGCACCCTATAATTTTTATATGAAACACATTCTCAAGCATCCTCCTGCGTGATAAATGCCTTCAGGCTTATAGACAGCTTTTGGTGACTGTTCTTAACAATATCAACACAGTTCAAGCCAAATGAAAACCAGAATCACGTCAAATGCAGCTACCTAGATCAAACGAAACAAATCAGTCAAACTCAAATCAACTAGACCGCTCAAATGTCCTTAGAGTAAAGCCGGAGGCGCCACTTCAAACAGAGGATATGCCATATCAATGCAGGATCTCGAGCGACTTTATTGCATATCCCCGCAATGACGCTTGTTGCTATGTTGCTATTGGTTTCAAGTGGCCTTGGTTTTGGGGGAAGATTTAACTGATGTAATATTTCATAGACATAACTCAGGCGCTCATAAGTGAAAAAAGTTATTATCCTGGAATAAGGACAAGTTGTTCAGAAGGTAAGGAGGACATTATTTTTCAGTTTATTTGTGTATATACTCTTTTACATCGAGTTGCACTGAGTTCTTAGTGCAAATGTATGTAACTGCATTTACATAAAGTGAAACATTGTGAATTTTCCTGCTTTTAGAATGAAAACATGATTCTTTCCGTTAAGTTTAGTGATGAAGAATGGAATTTCTTCCACGTCAGTGTTATTTAATTGAAGTTGTAATCTGTGTAGGCCCTTAAAGGAATAAATTCGGCATGGAGAACTCCTATGGAAACCGAAAGTACTTTTAGTTCACTAAATCTTACTGACTTCCTGTATAAATTTGATATTTGTCGAGTGTTTATTTAAAATCTGCTGGATTATTCAGTAAAGTAAAAGTTGTAGTGCATAATTCCTAGACTTGTTGTAGTCATTGGTATTGCCAGTGTACCACCTGCTCGTTTTATGCAGCCAAAATATCCAATTCTCACTTAACTGAGGAAACACTGTTGCCTGCAAAAGTAGTGCACCATTTTATGAGTTTCATAAAGTCTACAGAATGTTTTCTATTCACTGAATACTGTTTGCGAATTATCCGAGAAAACACATTTCCAATTGGGATGTAACACAAGGCTGAATTCTTAAACTGTCATCCTTATATCATTTCAATCCAATCACACATATATCAGTAGGATAGTCTATAAATGACTTTAGAGACTTATCATCATCAACTTACAGTTTACTGATGATACTGTACACCTAGACTTAGAGAGGTTACCCCTGATAGTGGAAAATATGAAAAGAATACCGGTGTTTGATTATAGGTGTCTGTGTTCTATCTCATGATTAAAGCAGTATAATATGGCGATTGCTCTTGAGGTTACGCATAAAGTGTTAGGTGAGGAGGGTCAGTTAGTCTTCAAGGTTGGGAAGCTGAATAGGTTGAGATGGCTATAACACGTGATTGCATACCAAGCCATCGCCTTCCTTGAGGGATAATGTTAGCCAGCACATGTCAAGGTTCAAAATGTGTTTGGGTCGGTTGAATGAAAAACTGCTATTGGTTCATAAAATCGTTGACAGTCAGCTAGAAGAACTACTAGATATATGTCTGCAAGTCTTTGTTTATGGCATAGATGCATTCACTCTGTGTAATCTCACGTATCTATTCAACTCATGTTGTCACTATTTATTTTCCCTCAAATTTTCGCTCGTTAAACTTCCATTTAGTTTTATGTCTCTACTTCTGTGTGGTGCATGGAATGTGGTAAACTAAACAGTTGGACTTCTTTGCAAAGTCATACTGAGAGCCAGGCAGAATGACACAGTTTAGGCATAACTAAATGCGAAACACTGAAGAATGATCTCCAGAATGTCAACAAATGAAAAGCATAGTTCTTAATCTTGTTCTTTGCTAAATGATAAATAGATACCTTTCAGTAATCTCTTCCTCCACTCGGGAATTGTCTCATACTTTGCAAATGATTTTGTGCTTTGTCACTTTTGTGCTAAGCTTTTAGTCATTCAGCATATGCCGTTGTTGTTGACTCAGGACCTGTATGACATTAGTGGAATAAAGTTTCGGTCCTGCGCAGTTGATTGGTTGCATTATCATTTCTCAAATGGAATGCAGCATGCTGTATATTAGGGTAAATCTTCCGCCTCGCTTGCTGGTGCTGGTGTTCCTCAAAGTATTTTTATCTCTCCTTTTCTTTTTTCTCTCTCGTCTTACATGACTTTCCTCTTTCTAATGAGGGCAACTTCGTCAAATACGCTGCTGATCTGACCGTCTCACTTCCTGTCATGTTACAATGTGAGTGCAGCAAACTTAACTGCTTCCTGTTGGTAGTCTAAGGTACATGGTCTTACGTTATATCCCTCTAAATGTCAGGCAGTTATTTTTTACTTCACTCTTAAGCGTGAACTACGAGAACTGTGTCGTTTATAAGATGCTTGTATCAAAGAGAGCACTGAAACATAAACTAAGTCGAACATAAAATACCTTGGAGTGGTTCTATCCTCTGGTCTTTCTTGGTCACTCCATATCTTTTCGATTTCTACGATAAACTTCTTTGCAGCTTACCAAGTTATGTAGTCAAGACAATCAGGAATCATTCAACCTTTGTTTTTGCAATTTGTTAACTCTTGCATTGGTCTCTGCTGCCACCCCTTATTCTTTCCTGAATTACTCAAAAGCGGCTAAATCTTATTGTCTTATTGAATTGTCACTATCCATTTCAAAATGATGAATAACTTCATTTTTCTTTTGCTAACAGTGGCTTATTCATGCAGTCAGCTTCTCACATGGACCTGGATAAAACAAGAGCAGAGGGAGAAGGATAAAATAATGTCATATTATTTTTCCTGTTATCGCCAGTCGAGTAAAACCCAAAACGCCTAAAATATCAATGAATGAAGTTTCACATACTTTCGTGTAACTAAATACTATATAACTGAATAATTGGGGAGCTAAAGGAAAAGAATTACAGGTGTCAGCAAGATTTTTCGCATAAATGCAAAAGTTACAGAAATATACTGGAGTCATTAACTTCAGTTCTAGAAAAAACGAACGTTTTTTATCAACGACAGTTCGTGAAAACAGAATGTCATTAGTCACACTTTCTTGAAGGCAGTGGATTATGGTGCTGACCAGGTTCGCTTCAGAGTGACATGACCAAAACATTTCATTTAACAGAAAGCATAAAAAGGTTTGTATGTTTGCAAAATTATTGAATACTGCGGCAATGTCACACTTAATGGTTCTTACGCTGTGCGTTTCTGTGTTAAAGCTGCCTTCACGGTAAGTGAGTTATGTCAACTAGATGTTCTCATCTTTACGCAAAATTGTCTGTGCCGTCGCACGAAAACGCTGTATTTCGATGAGAATTATTTCCCTCTCCAAACGTTCGTTATTTCCTAAAGAAAATGGTGAAATAAAAACATATAGCAGATCTCAGAAATTGGAAAATTATTCCTCAGTTGTTCACGACTTCTGCACAGCGTCTCTGTGTATTTCACATGCCTTAAGTTCTGACATTTTCACATATAATTGTGTTTTATTGGTTTTTGTCGTAATAAGATTCTGAAATTGTTAAAGGTTGGATACAGTGAGTCCCTGGCGATACCACTCAGGTGGTCCTGCAGTCCCCAGTTTCACCCCTCTCCTCATTGCCAATAAGAAAATGCAGGAAAACACGAATGGGTGCATTGTGTCTACCTCTATCACTTTAAGAAGGATTGGGTTCACATTCAAGGTTTTATTTGTCTATCATATTGGAGATTCAATCCTCACCCAAGCCACAGATACTGTGTCGTATATTGTTAGTGCCTCATACACCTCCAAGAAGGGAGTTGACCTGATTGCACAGAAATATTTA